GTAGTGACAAGAATTGATTGGTGATTCAGTTGTGAAGTTTAAAAGTGCAATTGTGGTAATTTCTAACAACCATATAGTAGCTAACTTTATGCTCAAGTTTTATTTACTTACCATGACCACGTTATTATATCTACCTAGGATTAGAAAAATGTGCTTGAATGTGCTAGAATTCAACCGAATCTACACGCATTTGATTCGATTTGTCACCGATTTACCTTGGACCAGCAAATCTGATTAAGTAGGATTGGAGGTACCTACAGCCTTATAATCAAATCATCTTACTGATATAAAACTTTAAAGCTTTTGCGAAATTTTGCCCCATTTTGCGTTTTGCTCCGACCGAAAACAAGAAATACGGTATTTCTGCAATAGTTTACCAATATATGAACAACTTGCTGTGACTTTGGAGGATTGTTTAACAAATATGATAACGCAGTTTTAACAAAATTAATGTTAGTTAGTAAATTTCTCTACGGTCAAATTCTACAATGAGATCGACTACCATTTTGGTCGGCTGGATTCGGGACCTTTTGAAGTTTGCGCGCGCGTTTTCTTGCCTCTTGGAGTAGGGACCTCAGTGCTGTGTACACAATTTTTCCCGCCTAATTTCAATGCAAGCCCAACGGTCATAAAACCATTACTATTCTACACTTTACTCCATCTTGACATACTAATTGGATACCAGTTTAACTGTTTATACTCTGACTTCTCTTGTTTACACTTTTAACTAATGTCGTACATATTTTCAGTTCCTCTAGTCGTCAACCGTGTGACACTACAGACAGTCGATGGGTGATAACAGATAATTGAAACCGGAATATCCCACATTTTATTCCATCAGCAAGCATGGTAGAGCACCAAACGATGATGAATGATGACATGGAAATAATGTTTCTAATTCAGTGAATAACCCACAATGAAGATACATCGGACAAATCACTTCTTATAGTTCTCTGCCGAAAAAACTAAACTTTATCTTTTCGTATCAACCAAAGAAACATTTCTTATTACTAAAATGTCAAAACTGCCAAATATTAATTGTATAATAGAATATTATGCTCATTTGGAGAAATAAAGACTTTATTTGTAGAAATTTGTGTTAAAAACCGACAACGATTAAGTGAGATATATTTGCGCCAGATATGTAATATTTTTATCGGCGGACTGATTTCAATATGGTATCTATTGTGATTTAAGACATCAATTTTGAGGAAAAATTTTAATATGTACGGTTAGAAAATCATTTCAGCTTTCTACACTTAACTGCACAATTTTTGTATTGTGTCTATCAGCCAAGAAATTGTTTAATGAAGACAAAAATTATGGGCGCAAATTCGTTCAATATTACCAAATGCGCGGAGGTTTCTTTTTACCATTTTAACAGATTTTATCCGATTTTTTAAATTCTTTCTGTGTGATCATGTGTAAACCTTTATGAATACATTGGTGTACTTCATTTGTCAAATGAAAACGAATAAACACACTAATCAAGCTGTCTAAGAGCGAGATGGCCGTATTTTCCCAATCTGCGCGTGAAAAGGTCCCTACTCCTTCTGCCGCGGTGGACGATGCTTTGACGATGCTTTGACGATGCTTCGACGATGCTTTGACGATGCTTTGACGATGCTTCGACGATGCTTCGACGATGCTTCGACGATGCTTCGACGATGCGAAGCAAAAATGCAAGTTCGTGCGGCGCGTCGAAGCGGCAAAGTCCTCCAACTAACAAACAAAACTTTGACACACCAAATCTTGACACACGCTGCAATTTCACATAGGCGTGTATACGCGTACTGCGTGACGCGCTTGTTTCATTTGCCGCCTTCGGTGGTCGCGAGCTACTGTACACTGTAAGCGAGAGAACTTTGGTTAGAGCAACGCTGCAACCACTTTCGATTGCGCGCGGCGTGCACAAAAAGGTTTCCAATTATACCATGTGTAGCAAAAAATTGGTGATCAATTATATTTAAAATTAATTTATAAAAGCAAGGCTTGAACAATCTAAGAAAATTGAAAATCGGGTTTTTATGCAAATATTTGATGTCTACCCAAGTTAACGTTTTTTTAAATATTTTACTAAATATTTTAGCTAAACTAAATTAATTAAATCATAAACACTTTGTAATATTATAATTATCAATTTTGACGTAAAAATTCTGTTCATGCATTTATCTACATGGTTTACATATAATATTATTACTAATTACAAAAAACGACATTGTCACGTCAGACAACTAGTACGGACATTTATTTAACGGGTGATACTCGTAAAATATCTGTTCCATATATTGGAGTCCAACATTCAAACTACATGCACATGTTCAATGTCACTCGTCTAAAGTTTTTCGAAGTAGCGTGCGCCGTGCGCCCCGCTTTTTTTCTCGTAGGCAAGTGCTACGAAGTAGCGCGCGCCGGGCTAGTCAATTAACAATGGACAGTAAACTTAAAAAGTGTTGTAATTAGTTAACAATCTTTGTTTAGCACTTAACAATTAATTGAGAAAGGAATTAATTATTTGGCGTTGCGCCGCGCATTTTCTTAAAATGTTGCTATCTCACAATCGAGCGATACTCAAATTTGTTCTTCCATTTCACCATATCTTCATTTTTATGAACACTAAGCCTAGTACCAGAGACCTAATATATATAAGTCCTCAGGTTAGTCGGATAGCTTAAATAATTATTTTATTAGTTATATAATTCTTTCAATCAATGATCAACAGTAAAACTTGTTGTATGAATTACATTGTATCATAAAAACGTCCAAATTTTAAAGAAAACTAGACTACGGGTATATAATACGGGTATGGTGACTTGGACAAGGATGCAAGGGATACAGGGATACAAGGATACAAAAGTGATAATTATTTTATTGAATTCACATTAGCTATAATTCTGAAATAATTTAAGGTTACACAATTCTAGTTATTTACAAATGTGTAGGGATAAAATAGAAATGTTTTATAATACTATTTTTCTATGAATAGATCGGATTTGTAGATTTCGATCTTATTTTGAGGTCCTATAGCATTATGCATTGGCCAGTATTTGAGTGGAAATCTGGGCTCTTATAGTAGGCTGTAAAATGTTCGTTCACAGAGAGAATTAAATGGATTGCTCTTGTTGTGGCAGTAAATTTCGTAGGGTCTAGTGTTTTATCGGATAGCAAACCGGCTAGGTCAGTAATATTTTTGAGATGGAAGTTAAATTTTTCTCTAACTGAGGAGTAGAGTAAACAGTCAGTTAGAACATGAATTTCGTCCTCAATAGGCTTAAGCCCCTTGCTGAAAAAGCAGAAAGTGCACCATCGATGTTCTCTTGGTACTAGGGGGGTTTCGTAACGGCCCCTCTCAATGTAGGCAAGCGAGTATTGCTTGCGGAGATGTGATGTATATAGCTAGCCTGTCAATGAATGCGTAGCGCAGGTGTATTTTAATGTATACTATGTAATAAGTATAGTATTAGGTAATAAGCCCAATTTGTACGTGGTAATTGGTATGCGTAGTATAGTGTACTGATGTGTATCAATATTATTATTATGAAGTGAGCTGATTGGAGCCTATATTTATAGTTATAGTGAACGGAAATCTAGCGTCCGCCAAAACGAAATCAACGGGCGCAATTCTTGTTGTAATAGGTATATATACCTTCTATCCATTCTCTTGCTACTCCAAGTCCCCTTTAAGATATCTGGTATAAAGGTCCTGCTAGTTATATTTAAAATATATTTATGTTGACTTTAATTGATACAAAATAAAATTAGTGAGGATTTCTTATTTAGAATCCGTTTATGTATGCTATTCCACAATTAAAGTGCAATTCTCGCACTTTTTTAGAGATTGTACAGGCACATCTTCTAAAATCATCTTATTTGCCCAGTTTTAGGGAGGGGTGCCAAAATGGGAGATGGTGCCAATAAGGGGGTGCTTCTTCAGCAGGGGGGGGGGGGGGGGGGGGGGCGCTAATGGGCAACGTTATGCCACCTGGCCATTTCCCCCCCCCCCCCCCCCCCCCCCAGCGGGGCCCTTCGTTACGCCACTGAAATGGCCGCGGGTTTGCTGTTGATCCAGGTATGATAATCAGGTATTTATTAGAAGGCCTTACCAGCATTTTCTGCTCGATACGTCAAATATACTTCTCTAGAGATATTTTAAGAAAGTGAGATTGTGGGTAATAAAGTGAGATTCTGCATTAGAGAAAAATTGTGGGTATGAAAATAATATTGAATGTAAGAAACTGAGATTGTGGGTAAGAAAGATGGTGTACATATTGCTTCGTCCTGTTAAATACTGTTTGCTATTTTCCTAGAAACATTTTTCCATCCTGAGAGCATCACTAATTGAATGTTCTCATAAATGAAATAGGAAGTCTACTTAACGTGGCCCATCCAAATGACCCCATTTATCTGCACTATTTTGCACATAGGGAACAATCAAGAACAGTCTATACTTTTAGGTTCGTCTGATCAGAAATTTGCATATCTTCCATGCGAATGTCTTCTTTATTGTCTTTTTTCATATACCAGTACTTAGACCAGTGCGTTCTGTCTTAGGGTTTATTAACAAGTGATGGAGAGTCAGACGTGTCTCACAACTAAAGTTTTCCTGATTCTAGTCAAATTTACATTCATTACCTAAAGTATGTCTCCTCTCTTTACTATAGGATGTAACAGATTTAAAGATTGTCTCTGCATATTTTTACTTTGGATTGTTATAAGATAACATTGCAGCAGTGAACGTTTGCACTGTAACACTCTACTTTAAGTGGTTTGCTGGATCACACAATAATAACCATTTATAGCACTGTTGGGTGGTCGTTGTGAAGGGATGGTTACTAAGATGAAATTTATTCAAGCTTTGTAAGGGTCCCCTTTCTTATCATTTTAAATGGAGGTTTCTCTAAATCTTTGCTAAGTAATTTACATTTTGAAGTAATATTTACATAGGATCATACTGAAATTGGTTTGCAAGTACTTCCCCTAATTTTTGTGATCCAAATTTCAATTTAGGTAACAATGGGTTCAGAAAAGAAGAAAAAAGATAAAAAGAAAGATAAAAAGAAGAAAAGTCGGCATTCAGAACATTCAGAGAGTACAGAAAGAAGAGACAAAAAGAGGCATAAACATGATTCACCTGACAGCAATGCTGATAATTTTGCTCAAGCTTCTTTGAGTGTGAATGATAGTAACAAATTGAGAGAAAAGCTAGGTTTGAAACCTTTAGAAGATGAGTCAAAGAAAGTGGAAGTAGATCAAAATGTTGTTTCACTTAGCATTGACGAAACAAACAAGCTGAGGGAAAAACTGGGGATGAAGCCTCTAGAAGTAGCTGACAAATCAGGTGATGTACATGTGCCTGCAAAAAACATGGGTAAAATTTTGGAAACAGAAAAGTTAGCTGAAAAAATGAAACTTCTTCAAGAAAAAAGAAGGATAAAGCAGCAGCTTAGCAGTGTCAAATCATTAGGTGCTGGCTCAACTGACTTGACAGATACTGTTGCTTGGATACAACGCAGTCGAACTATTGACAGCAAAAAAGCTGCTGCTGCAGCTCAGACCAAACTGTTGGATGCCATGGATGATGAATTCGGAATTGGTGAGCTTGTGGAAAGTAATCGCTTTGGTAGGGAATACACAAATAAAAATATGAAGGACTTAACTGTGTTGCATGATGTTAGCTCTTTCAAAGAAGGGGATATGACCATTCTGACACTTCAGGACAAAGAAATTCTTGACGAAGAAGGAGATGAAGATGTCCTTATAAATGTGAACATGCTGGACAATGAAAAAGTAGATAGGAATAATGATCTTAAGAAGAAAAAGCCTGATTATAATCCGTACACTGAAGATATTGATGAATTTGGGAATGTCAAACGGCAGAACATGCTCTCAAAGTATGATGAAGTTATTGAGGGTGAGAAGAAACGGAGTTTCAAGTTGTCTGAAGCACAGAATGCTGAAGTTATCAAGAGGAAAATGTCAGAAGGATTACAGCAGCGACCTGGAAACATTTCTCTTGACACAGCATATTTAAAGAAAACTGCAACTGAATATTTTACAACAGACGAAGTTACCGCTTTCAAGAAACCTAGGAAAAAGAAAATAAGAAAGATTAGAAAAACCAAAGTAGATGAAATTGCTCCGTTGCCAAATGAAGAGAAACTGACTGGACGTCGAGACCATGGATCAAGGGCTGCAGGGGGAAGGAGCAAAGGAAGCGTTGATGAGGTGAAAATTAAAGATAACGGTGACAATATGGAAATCGATATTGGTAAGTTTCTTTCCTTTGATCTTGTTTTGGTTTATTCGGGTTAAATTAACACCCAACCTGTACTGTAATTATACATTAATGATAGACAATCGTCCAAAAGCTACTTTTAAGTAAATAATGATAGACATAAGTCTTAAAGCATATCTAATGTAAAGTAAACTCATGCTCTCTCTTAAAATGACCATGTACAACTATTATAACAGAATGCCACTTTTTCATATCCTTACTTGATTATTCTCTTGTAGACGACCAACCAGACTCCAATGTGGTATCAAAGAAAGGCAGTGGTGGAAAGATCAGCGAGAGAGAATTGTACTCAGTGAGACTGGAAGAGGAAGACAATGAACTTGAAGCTGCTCTTGCTCGATCAAGAAGGTACTAGTCTTATAATGTTTATGCTGGGACTCCTTTGTGTTCTACTGATATCTGGATATTATCCGGTTGGAAGAGACAAGGACAAGTGAAACAAGGAAGTTAGGAGTAAGGGCAAATTTTCGGCGTCAACGCCATCTTCAGGCTAAAATTGTTATAAATGTTATATAACTGAATACAGGTTACATCAAATGGTATTATACATTACATTGAAAATAGTGATGTACACACGTTTTACACTCTGTCCAAGTACATAATATCTACTGAACAGCAGGGTCGTGTGCTATTTGTTTAAATTTGTCTTTGAATATGTTGTAAAAGAAATCCCTTAAGCTTCTCGCACTCTTCTTTGTTATTGATACTAGGTTTAAATAAATTAATGTAGTAAGCTTCTGTCACTTTACGTTTAATGGTGCTATATAAGTTAATTTCTAAAATATCGAAGGAAATATCTGGTTCTATGTTATCGTGAAACTCTGAATAATGAGCAGCTAACGCATTATCAGGATAGGTTAAAGGCCTGTTGACTGCTCTTCGATGCTCTGAAAATCTATCGTGTGCTGTTCTACTCGTTTCCCCTATATATAGCTCTTGACATAATTTACACGTAACTTTGTATATGACACATTTTGGTTTGCAGTCGTGATTTGTTGTGATGAGTGGACATATGATACAGTTTGGTATGGTGCAGTGTGGTTTGTCGTGTGGGCGTGATGAACATAAGATCTCTGAGAGTTTCTTACCTGGTGTGAATATGAATTTGACCGGTAAGTTGTGTGAGAGGGCAAATTGAGTGACTTCTTTGGAAAACGATAGAGCACACGACAGCACACGATAGATTTTCAGAGCATCGAAGAGCAGTCAACAGGCCTTTAACCTATCCTGATAATGCGTTAGCTGCTCATTATTCAGAGTTTCACGATAACATAGAACCAGATATTTCCTTCGATATTTTAGAAATTAACTTATATAGCACCATTAAACGTAAAGTGACAGAAGCTTACTACATTAATTTATTTAAACCTAGTATCAATAACAAAGAAGAGTGCGAGAAGCTTAAGGGATTTCTTTTACAACATATTCAAAGACAAATTTAAACAAATAGCACACGACCCTGCTGTTCAGTAGATATTATGTACTTGGACAGAGTGTAAAACGTGTGTACATCACTATTTTCAATGTAATGTATAATACCATTTGATGTAACCTGTATTCAGTTATATAACATTTATAACAATTTTAGCCTGAAGATGGCGTTGACGCCGAAAATTTGCCCTTACTCCTAACTTCCTTGTTTCACTTGTCCTTGTCTCTTCCAACCGGATAATATCCAGATATCAGTATTTCAATCATGAGACTAATAAACAGCGAACTACTCCGTTATTTGATATTCCTTTGTGTTCTGTCAGATTTTTGTGCAAAGGTGTAAGAACGTCTTGTAATGCTGATTTTTTTAGAAACAAATTTTAAATGATTTTTAAAGCATTAAAATTACATATCAGATCAGTTTTATTACATGTTACAGGGTCTTTAGATCCTTATTTCACAGTCAAACTCATTGTTCCAATAGATAAGTACTTTATATTTGAAAGGAGAAACGCTAATAATGCAATATGCATCCTCTCAGATCAAACATAAAAGAGAACAAGAAGACTATATTGGAGACATTATCACAATTACAGCCTAAAGAGGAAGCTATCCCAGGAGTAGCTAAAGCTAGTAAGTATTTATCTTACTTATAATTCAGAGAATTATCTTTGTACATTGTACACTGTACGACCGCCCACGTGCAAATCAGACGAAAATATGAACTTGCATAGTACCCATGGTAATGAGTGTTATTACACGCACGTGCACGTGCAATGATTATTTTAACGTCATTTTGATCGGTTTTGTTGATATTACGCTGTGTTTCAGTTTAGTACGAGCAACATTTTAATTGGCTGTATTTTCGGTTGTGTAGGATATTTTTTGACGCGATTTAAACTTACTAACAAAAATACTATTAGCTACCTCCCTATGACCCTTTCTAGTACTTTATATTAAAGTATACAATATCTTACTTATAATTCAAAGAATTGTTTCTGTATGTATGTACGACCGCCCACGTGCAAATTAGGTGAAAAATAAGAATTTGCATAGTAACCATGGTAACGGTGTTGAAATGTGTACGGTGCACGTGCAATGATTGTTTTAACATCATTTTGATCGGTTTTGTGGTAATAACGTTGTGTTCAGTGCGAACTACATTTTAATCGGCTGTATCTTCGGTTGTGACGGATATTTTTTGATGCGATAAAAACTGACTACCAAAGAATACTATTAGCTTCCTCCCACGGGCTTTCTAGTACTTTATAAAGTAACAGGGAGGAAGTTAGTAGTATTCTTTGAAATTAATTTTTAATCACATCAAAAAATATCCGTCACAACCGAAGAAACAGCCGATTTAAACTCTTTAATTTCAAACACAACGTAATTACCACAAAACCGATCAAAATGCCGTTCGAACAATCATTGCACGTGCAAGTGCGTGTTTCAATACCGTTACCATGCACATGGTTACTATGCAACCTTTTGCTTTTTACCTAATTTGCACGTGGGCGGTCGTACATACATACATACAGACATGATCAGTTATGTTTTAATTTGTGTTCATCATCCAGCTCTGCACTGTAGAAAGTATTTATACAGAAATAATCTTTCGAATTATAATAGAGATTCAACAGATGAAATGATGTCCAGAGCTCAAACGTTTTACTCAGTAGGCTTAATAATTAATATAGATGACACAGATTTTATAAGCATCAAAATCAATCCAATTATTGAGTGTCGAATTTTCAGGTCAGATCGTACTGGATAGAACAGCTGAATTTGCTAAAGGTATAGGAGGAAGTGAAGAAAAGGAGCCTAGTGAAACTCCCATAAAACCAGAACCAATGGAAACAGAGGAACCTGTTGAGAAGATCAGTGATTGGAAGGATGTTGACTTTGTCACCGCTACTTTTGGAGAGGTTTCTTAATCTCTTTCCTTAACGTGCATCACTTTTCTGTCAGATTTTGTCAAATTTGATTATAAATCCTACCCCGGCTGAAACCTAAAATCTAATCTTTGTTCTTGACATTTTTTTTCCATTTTAATTAAAAAATATGATAATTTCAAGTATTTAAATAAATATGAAAATGTTGCATTTGGACACGAAACACACAATATGAGGCTTGAAATCTTCATAAAAACTACATCATGAGAGCGTAAATTTGTTGTTGAATAGTAGTATTGAGTAGTTTAAAAGAAATTTAATGTTACTGGTTACAAGATAACACATCAGTATATTTTAGTCTGGGATATACTTAAATCTCTGTGACACAGGTGCCAGTATTTATTTATTTTTAATCATTTTATTTATTACAGTTTCAAGACTACGACCCAAGTCGTGTAGATACACAGGAGGTTATCGAGGCAGAACCTTCACTTCAACGTGGTTTATCTGGAGCACTACAAGTTGCACAGCGCAAGGGCTTCATCGATATCAACAAAAAATCCGTCAACTCTAAAGACATAAGCGATGCAGTTCAAGCAACAGGGTCACTTCGCGCTAGATTCTACCAAGTGGACAAAGACACGGGTCAGGATGTGGACACACGCCGACGTGGTGACCGGGAGTATAGCTCAGGTCAGTTCCCGGAAAAGCGTAACTACAATCCTGATGTTAAAATAGCATATACAGACAGCATTGGAAGAGAGTTGAACTCAAAAGAGGCATTCAGACAACTGTCACATAAGTTCCACGGCAAGGGGTCAGGTAAGATGAAAACAGAGAAGAGGATGAAGAAAGCAGTGGAGGAGATGTCGCTGAAGAAGATGGAATCTGATGATACCCCGTTAGGGTCAGCAGCGTTGTTCAGAGAGAAACAAAAGGATGCTAATTCAGCTTATATTGTACTGTCGGGTGGTAATAGGATTCCTCAAGACGTTAATAATAACATTTCGAAACTGTCTAAGAGGTGATAAATTATGAAATTTTGACATCATTCAAGTTTTATTTTCGAAGAAATCTTAAAGAAATCTCGCTTTGAAAATGGCAAAGAAATTACGTAATCAATATTCATGTCAGTAGCTGAAATTGTGTGGCTGACCTTCAGATGTGAACTCTTTAAACGATATATCAGGACAATGTGCTACTTAATATAATATTATTTTATCATTCTACGAAATAACCGTATTCTTCTTTCCTTCTTCCAGTAAAGGCAAATTTATAAATTCACTTGTTAAAGAACTCATTATATAATAGTTGAATTTCATCCTTTTTATAGAACTAATAAAGAAATTTATGAATATATTTCCTAGTAACAACTCCAAAATCATAACTAAAATTATTGTACTGTTTAAACTTTCAAAGTTTGATGTTCTGTTAATAAAGCATATAATATGCATGTAAGTCTTACAAAGCTAAAAAGCCACCACAATAACCTCACACCAAGCTAATTAACAGTACATCTCATGAAGGTATAGAATGTAACACCAGTGTCATGTCAGTGCTTATAGTTGGAGCCGGGTTTACTGGCAGTGTGCTGTGTAAAGTGCTCCGTGCAACTGCACCTGAACTAACCCTGACAGTCTGGGAGAAGTCACGTGGGGCAGGAGGGAGACAAGCTACCAAGCGGGACGGTGAACATTCCTGTGATATTGGAACACAGTATTGTACTCATTGGAAGAATGATGAGTTTTTTAAACCGTATATTAAAGAGTTGAAAAGTACCAATGTTATTCATGAGCTCAAGGTTGGTTTAATGAGAAGCGAGTCTTGCACTTTAATCTTAAAGTTTTTAAAACTTTACATCTTCCAGAAAAGTCATTTTCTTAATGCTAACCAAAAAAACAAATGATATCTGCCATCTGGTGGAGTAATCTGTAATTACAAAGTGAAAACTGCCAAATTCAATAAAAAAAATACCCTCAGGGTAACATAGTTAACGCCCCCAATAAGTACGGTGGTGACTGTGTGCACTATGTTGCTAAAAAAGGAATGAATTCTACATCAAAATACTTCCTTTCTGGTACCAATGTGTTCTACGGGACGAGAGTAACAGCTCTTAAAATGTTGGATAACAAGGTATTTTTTCAATAAGGTATTATTTTATAAATTCCTAAATATGATCTTCTAACAAGCGATGCTTCAAAGTATTATGAGATTCGGAAAATTTAGTCAACAAATTCTACTCCGTTTTCAGACTCTACCTATCATCTAAATTACCTACCATGCTAAGTAAATTTTTTATTATTTTGTAAATTTAAAATTCATTTCGGTAATTCATGTCGCTAATTCAGCACACTCAGATAGAAGTTGTGAATGCTGAAGGGAGAAGTGCTATATTTGACGCTGTGGTATTTACCATTCCAGCGCCCCAGTTACTTGACATTAATATGGACGGGAGAATGTCGCACGATGTGAGTATTATAGGCGGGGACTGGGAGAGGGATACAACAACTGAAAAACTTTCTGAGAATGATAAATAAATAAATTTTCTTTATAAAAATTTCATATTACATCAACTTCATATCCCTGCCTCTATCGCCAACCTGATTCACGTTGTCTTGCACCATGTCTGGAAATAAACTCCAACTTTAACACTAAACCTGACCCTGATCGTAATTCCTAACCCTGCTGGGGGCTGGGGCTGGGCGCTGGGACGAATTTTCGGGCACAGTGCATTAGAATATTAGAATAGCTAAGTCTCTGACGGGCGTTTGGACTGGAACACGCGAGAGTTCATGAATCCGAGATTTTGGAAACATTTTGGAAACATGTGACAGAATTGTGACAGAATTGTGACCGATTTGGAAACATGCCCTTGTAGCCGTAATTTTGCCTGGACTGACTTGGAATCGATCTGGCATGGTAGAGGGACATGTGTACTATCATTTCTAACCACTCAGAAGTGCGAAATATTGCCCTGGTTCATGGAATGAACGAAATGAACAAAAAATGAACATTATCCTAAAATCGCTTGAAATTAGCTGAAACCAATTGGGATTGATTGGTTATGATACCAGAAGTGTCCCTGAGAAGTTTGGTGGGTCTAGCATGTTAAGAAAGGGCTCTGGGGCAATGTTTTCATTTTGGTTTCAGAGTAGTTGAGATCGTGGAAACATTTGTGACCGATTTGGAAACATGCCCTTGTAGCTGTAATTCTGCCTGGGCTGACTTGAAATCGAGATGGCATGGTAGAGGGACATGTGTACTATTATTTCTAACCACTCAGAAGTGCGAAATATTGCCCTGGTTCATGGAATGAACGAAATGAACAAAAAATGAACATTATCCTAAAATCGCTTGAAATTAGCTGAAACCAATTGGGATTGATTGGTTATGATACCAGAAGTGTCCCTGAGAAGTTTGGTGGGTCTAGCATGTTAAGAAAGGGCTCTGGGGTAATGTTTCCATTTTGGTTTCAGAGTAGTTGAGATCGTGGAAACATTTGTGACCGATTTGGAAACATGCCCTTGTAGCCGTAATTCTGCCTGGACTGACTTGGAATCGATCTGGCATGGTAGAGGGACATGTGTACTATTATTTCTAACCACTCAGAAGTGCGAAATATTGCCCTGGTTCATGGAATGAACGAAATGAACAAAAAATGAACATTATCCTAGAATCGCCTGAAATGAGCTGAAACCGATTGGGATCGATTGGTAATGATACCAGAAGTGTCCCTGAGAAGTTTGGTGGGTCTAGCATGTTAAGAAAGGGCTCTGGGGTAATGTTTCCATTTTGGTCTCTGAGTAGTTGAGATCGTGGAAACATTTGTGACCGATTTGGAAACATGCCCTTGTAGCCGTAATTCTGCCTGGACTGACTTGGAATCGATCTGGCATGGTAGAGGGACATGTGTACTATCATTTCTAACCACTCAGAAGTGCGAAATATTGCCCTGGTTCATGGAATGAACGAAATGAACAAAAAATGAACATTATCCTAGAATCGCCTGAAATGAGCTGAAACCGATTGGGATCGATTGGTAATGATACCAGAAGTGTCCCTGAGAAGTTTGGTGGGTATAGCATGTTAAGAAAGGGCTCTGGGGCATTGTTTTTATTTTGGTGTCAGAGTAGTTGAGCTCGTGGAAACATTTGTGTCCGATTTGGAAACATTTAGGGACTATGGGTGGAAGATTTTGTTCCCTTCATTGTGCTGTTTCCGGGAAGCATTCTGTTTACACTCTCATCATTCTGTAGAATGAAATATCGTTCATTTAAAATTGGGTAATTATAGGCCTGTCAATGATTGCAGCCCAATTAAGAGCTGATCAATTGCAGCTCCTAGTGCCATATAAGAGATAACTGAGGTCACGTGACAGTCGGTCCTATCACGTGACCTTGATTCGTTAATCCTCGAACACGTTATCACATTCGTAACGTGTCGTATGCTGACTAGGATATTTTGTGACGTCACCAGATGCAGAGCTCAAGTTACTTGATCAGGCCTTATATACAGTGTTTCGTGTGTAATTGGACTCAATTAGCTGAACGCTCAATTATACAGCAGCATCTGGTACCACCTTCTGAAAACCAGCAGACAGCTGGCTCAGAGAATCGAAAATAGAAGGATTTTTTATGGATGAAAATCAAAGGGAAAACCTTGTAACCTTACATTTTCGATGACGCTGAACAAGATTAAACTGATAATAATTATCATACTCTCGTGTGAATTACTTTAAAACGTACTTGAATGTTGGTATGTTTCCAAATCGGTCACAATTGTTTGCACGATCTCAACTACTCTGAAACCAAAATGGAAACATTGCCCCAGAGCCCTTTCGTAACATGCTAGACCCACCAAACTTCTCAGGGACACTTCTGGTATCATTACCAATCGATCCCAATCGGTTTCAGCTCATTTCAGGCGATTTTAGGACAATGTTCATTTTTTGTTCATTTCGTTCATTCCATGAACCAGGGCAATATTTCACACTTCTGAGTGGTTAGAAATAATAGTACACATGTCCCTCTACCATGCCAGATCGATTCCAAGTCAGTCCAGGCAGAATTACGGCTACAAGGGCATGTTTCCAAATCGGTCACAAATGTTTCCACGATCTCAACTACTCTGAAACCAAAATGGAAACATTGCCCCAGAGCCCTTTCGTAACATGCTAGACCCACCAAACTTCTCAGGGACACTTCTGGTATCATTACCAATCGATCCCAATCGGTTTCAGCTCATTTCAGGCGATTCTAGGATAATGTTCATTTTTTGTTCATTTCGTTCATTCCATGAACCAGGGCAATATTTCGCACTTCTGAGTGGTTAGAAATGATAGTACACATGTCCCTCTACCATGCCAGATCGATCCCAAGTCAGTCCAGGCAGAATTACGGCTACAAGGGCATGTTTCCAAATCGGTCACAAATGTTTCCACGATCTCAACTACTCTGAAACCAAAATGGAAACATTACCCCAGAGCCCTTTCGTAACATGCTAGACCCACCAAACTTCTCAGGGACACAGGACACTTCTGGTATCATTACCAATCGATCCCAATCGGTTTCAGCTCATTTCAGGCGATTCTAGGATAATGTTCATTTTTTGTTCATTTCGTTCATTCCATGAACCAGGGCAATATTTCGCACTTCTGAGTGGTTAGAAATGATAGTACACATGTCCCTCTACCATGCCAGATCGATTCCAAGTCAGTCCAGGCAGAATTACGGCTACAAGGGCATGTTTCCAAATCGGTCACAAATGTTTCCACGATCTCAACTACTCTGAAACCAAAATGGAAACATTGCCCCAGAGCCCTTTCGTAACATGCTAGACCCACCAAACTTCTCAGGGACACTTCTGGTATCATTACCAATCGATCCCAATCGTTTTCAGCTCATTTCAGTCGATTCTAGGATAATGTTCATTTTTTGTTCATTTCGTTCATTCCATGAACCAGGGCAATATTTCGCACTTCTGAGTGGTTAGAAATGATAGTACACATGTCCCTCTACCATGCCAGATCGATTCCAAGTCAGCCCAGGCAGAATTACGGTTACAAGGGCATGTTTCCAAATCGGTCACAAATGTTTCCACGATCTCAATTCTCAACTACTCTGAAACCAAAATGGAAACATTGCCCCAGAGCCCTTTCGTAACATGCTAGACCCACCAAACTTCTCAGGGACACTTCTGGTATCATTACCAATCGATCCCAATCGGTTTCAGCTCATTTCAGGCGATTCTGAGACAATGTTCATTTTTTGTTCATTTCATTCATTCCATGAATCAGGGAAATATTTCACAGGAGGCTTAAAATGTTAGTTCTCATGACACTGTATCATACCAGGGCAAATCTAACTCAGTTTACGGACATATTCAGTTAAAAATATGTTTTTAATCCTGTCACAAATGTTTCCACGAACTCGGATTCATCTTCTGACACGCGAAATTTTATTACATTGTTCTGACGAAAGTACATAAACCTGTCATCTAGACACCCGAGAACATGCGCGCATATATGCGTACGCGCGGCGCGACATCTGTTGATGAATTAAACTTGTTGCGCGATGCACTACTGGGCCGCGCGCGCATCCAATAATGCTTCTCGCAACTTGTCATACGTTGTATGACCCGCCACGCACGAGTGCGCGGCTCCCCCTGTATCGTAGAAACTCTGCCATAGTGAAACGACCGTGGGGGTCACGACGTGATACAACTCGTATCACCACATCAACATATGCAGATCGCCGAGATGCGAAGGATTGACATCGTGAATCAAAATTTAACTTGCACCCGTTGCCCGCTTTCGGATGATGATAATAATCACTGTACACTCGACTGTCACGTGACTTTTTCAACCCGTTCTCTAGCTGGTCCTGAACGACTATACTATTCGAAACCCTAATCCTTTAATCTGATTCCAATCCTAACAGTGTCAGTAACCCTTAACGGGTGATACTCGTAAGTCCAACTCGGCGCGCGTCCTGGTAGGTTGTAAACCTACAACAGTAACCCTAACCCAATCCTTAACAAATGCATATGCTGAAACCCTAATATAACGAGAAATTAGAATAACTTCCCTATACGGTCATATCACGTGATCGAGACAGTTTTTCGCCAATATCTCGTCAGGGGAGCATTTTAAGTTTGTGTCATGGGGGCCCTTTTAGAAAAATCTCGAAGATCGACTGTAGAGTGATTTAGCCATTAGCACGCTCGCCCGCTTTCACGCCTGCTATAATTATCGAGGAGCCATCTACTTAAGACGTCCGCCAAAATCGCAAATTTTCAGACCTCCCCCTGTCCGGGTGTGTCCAAATTTTCAAAACCACACCCCTTCCCCGGATTTCCAGCTTCTTTTAAGAGTACAAATAATTCATTGTTATAAAAATTGAAATGTGTTAATTGACGATGTCAATTCATCGCAGCTCGGCGAGGCACAGTAGCGCATCTCGCCGATCTAGCGTCGTTGCGAGAAGCATAATTGAGTTTACCTCAGGCTATTATGTTCATAAACATAATAGAGATAAACACGAATAGAGATTCGACGGAATGACAGGTAGAATTGAGTGCGCGGCGCGGCAGTAACGCATCGCGCTACAATAAAATGTGTAGTTACTTAAAATAGACAATTATACATTTAGTGTCGAACAAGTTTAGCACAGTTACATTTAAGTACTTAATAAGTAGCCATCCAATCGAATAAGTTTTAAGGCAGTAGGAGAATATGCGAGTTGTGTCTCGGCTCTCATGAGCTGCTCTGGGAATCGACTTCTCGTTCAAGATACAGGGATCTGAACTTACAGAGTAATTAGTGTCAAATAAAAGAGTTAAAATTAAAAATAAATGGGACTTTTTCGTTAATTCTGCCAAAATTTCCGGACGTCCGTATTTTCAGAAACCCCCCCCCCCCCCCTCCCCCTGTCCGGATTTGTCCAAAATTATTCCAAAACCACCCCCCTCTCTATTTTCCGGACGTCCTAAGTAGATGGCCCCCAACTGTACTATGCTTGGTTCTTGTGACCGAATACTATTAAGTATTAATTCTTCTCAATCTCAGACCAGTGATGCAATATCTAAAGTCAAGTTCACGCCTCGTTTTTCCCTGATGGCAGTGTTCGAAGAAGTGCCTCACTACGATTGGGTCATGAAGTACCACGATGATGAGGTGGTTCGGTTTACTGTGTGGGACAATGTCAAACGATCTCAGGGTTCGTACTTTTAGGCTGGGGCTTGGAGCCATTGTCACTTCGTGCACTAGTCAGAGTTGGGATTGGATTGTGATGGTTTGGATCATCTTAACTATTGTGAAGCTATTGCAGGACACAATGCTCTGCAAACGACATTTTCTCACAGCTGTGACTTAAACCTATTATCTAAATTGTTGTTTCTGGAATTACGTCCGAAAAATTCACGAAATAATTCCTCAGGTTTGGACCCAACCCTCCTTATCCACTCCTCTGCGCCATGGGCTGTCAAGAACACGGATGTAAAAACAAAAGAAGAAGCGGGTGAGGTAATGTTAGCTCGGCTTAAAGAAGTTTTCCCAGAGTTGCCGGCACCTAAAAAAGTCATACCACACTTTTGGCGATACGGGCAGATTTACAAACCCTACCCTGGTGCCCCAGGATGTGTGACTATTAGCGAAAATCCCCTTGTTATTGCTGGTGGAGATTCATTCATGAACACCTCGAATTTATCTATGTGTGCTCAAGCAGCTGAGATTCTTGCTGATAGGGTCAAAGAGGGATTTAATATTCCAAATATTCCAATGGAATCGTAAGGATGCTAACTTTTTTTCTATTTTAATGATTTGTCATAGGAAGTCAGTTACATTCGAGTTTATGGAGTTAATCAATAGTCAGAAAGCTGATTCTGGAATAATGGACGTGACCCGTTTTTAAGTTAAGGGGGGGGGGGGGGGGGGGGGGGGGGGGGGGGGGGGGGGGGGATAGCAGTTGACCAACAAACTAGGACCAGTGACCGAACTTTTGAATTTCGCATTGCGAATTTTGGAATTTGGCCGCCAAATTTTGAGTTAGGCCTTTTTTTTAAAGACCTAACTCAAAATTCTGTCCCAAAACTTAAGGTCGAAATGCGATTCTACGTTGATTCTGAAAATTTCATGTAAAAATATTGAAACCCTGTTGAGTTCTATTGTTTTGAGCGAAATCAGTTTTGCAAATATCGCAAACTGAGATATGGGCAATTTTGTTCATTTTTTGCGATTATTTGAACACAGAATCCACAGTTAGGTAGATACTGAGCTGATAATCATAGAGAATGTGTAGTATAGGCTTACCTTCCATATAAAGTTGGTTTCATTCAAAAATATTGATATTTGACTAATATATGGGCCAAAATCGATCAAATTTAGTGCGTATGCCCAAATATGGTTTTTTGCTCATAACTCAGTCATTTTTTGTCCAATCTTGATGGAAATTCATATACGAGTTCAGGGGACCACTAGCTACAAGTAGAGCACCTAAAATCTGGATTTTGGGCATGTTCAGGGTATTTGGCTAAATTGGGCCTAATTTGGACAAAATATGGGCGTGGCTGCCCCGCGGGCACCGTTTGGCGGTTGGGGTCCGGGACCCCCTCAAAAGTTCCGTAACTGGTCTTAGTTTGTTGGTCAACTGCTATCTCGAAACCAAGTTTCACAAAAAATCAGGGTGAACCCCCCCCCCCCCCCCCCCTTAAGTGATGTTTTCTAATTTAATGTATATTACAAAAGTTTATATCGAGATTAAACATTTATAATACGTTTTTTCATTTTCAAAGTGTTAATGCAAATCCACCAAAATTGATTTAAATATTAGCCCTTGCTCGAATTTCTAGTGATTTAGCACGATCGGTTGTATAATACCCCTTTCGTGGACACTGCATAACATTATAATAAAATGTTCAAAGAGGTCGTTCACATATTACGTAATCACTTTTTGAACAATTTTTAACCCCCCCCCCCCCCCCCCCCCCTCCGTAATCAGTTTTACACATAGCTATTGTGTCAAAATTACACTAGCGTAATTATGTGGAAACCCCTGGCCTCCCCCCTCGGCTGATTACGTAATATGTGAACGACTCCAAATTACTACATACAGGATACTAAGTAAGAATGAAACCTTTCAATTGGCAGCGGTGGATCTACGAAAACAGTTGAGAGTGAAACATAAGTTAATGTAAGTTGTATTCAAATATAACAATCAATATGAAACAAATTAGATAAATAAATAAATAATTAAAATACTAATATCAGCACATTTTACTTTGATGGTTTCCAAAAACTAACATTATTATTAAGCAGTTGTAGCACTATCGCGATGAATTATTTTATATTTTTAAAACTAAACAGAGCAACTTCAATCCAGGGGTTCAGGGTCACATATAACCTAATCATTAATTTATTTTTACATGTGGAAAATTAAAATAACGCAAATCAAACGGTTAGATAAAATAGCGAAAGCAAAATATGCTTGGTGATTGTGTATTGGTTGACAATAACTATCTACCGAATTTCTTCGTACTGACACTAAAATTAGCAAGAATTCGTAGCTCAACTTTTATTGAAAATTATCATAATAATCAATCAAAGGCTATAAGTATAATCGGCTTTCCAGTTCACTTTAAGTTTGACTTTAAGCTGAGTCACCCACTAGAGATAGTAGAGATCACTAGTAGTAGTAGAAATGCTCTGAACGCTGTTCCTATCAATCGTTTCAAGATGCCAGATTTGTGGCGTAGATCTTCACGTTAGGTAGTGACTAAAACATTTGAAATCTATAATTTAAATTTTCGCATAGAATCAGATACTGGATACGGCAGAATATTAAATATACGCAAAAACACAAGCGATCGAAATGTGAAATTAAAAGGTCCGCTGCATATTAACACTTGAATTGTTGATAATCCTTAACCATTATAGTTACTTTGAACGTACCTTGACAGATCGAATATTCTCGAATTTTTCAGCAAAGCCTCCCATCATCTTTAGCGTGTTTTCAGTCACATTGCACACGCCCTCTGAAATGGAATTATCTGTCATAAATCGATGGAAATCAACCAAAACATGAAATATAACTGGGTATGCAACAAGAAAACCAGCCACATTCCAAAAGGGATTTGATGCTGCAAAGAACCTACCAACTGCTTCAGATCTGAGTTTTTCTGCGTTCTGATAGGTTTCACCGTACAACTGGAAACTTCGGAATTTAGCACCCACCAGGCCAACAGCGCTAGGGCCTGAAAACACGTTTTTTTATTAAAGATGATTTATCGTGACTGTAATAGTCACTTTACGTAGTATAATAATATAACAAAAAATTTGAGAATATGAGTATGACTTAGAAATGTCGACACGTTATTCAGCTATTAATATTTCCATTAGAATCTGTCTTTACTGAGTCTATTCAGAAACAATCAGAAATTTGAATGAAAGAAACATCAAATCATGAGATTCAATAACACTACGCGAATCCACCAGTGTTATACTAGTGTACTTCATGTACTTGTAACTTAGCATAGTACAAATTGAATTCGGATCAGTGCAGGTTTAACTATAATTATTATATGTTATTGGCATTCGGTTAAATCAGAATGTGCAACATTTTATTTTATACAAATAATACAAAGCATACGTTATAATACTCGATTAGATATTTTAACGGCACTGTATCATCGAGTGAGACTAAATGCGATTGGACCCATTAGAACAATCCGTAACAGGGTACTATGAATATAAATTTCCGTTAAGTGTTAACTCCAGTAGTCCAGTTCTCTGCAGTAGCCACAAACCTGAATCTATACCAGCTCGGATGTTAAGTTTAAAGAAAGGTAACTCCAGCAACTCAATGAAGCTTTGTACTCCTTTACAGAGTTTCAGCAGATCAGTGGCCTGAGACTTGGCACTTTGCTCGGAACCGTTTGCAAGGATAACGAAAAAGTTAGCTGATGTCACCACCTAAAACAAAAGTGAATTAAATTACTAACCGAAAATAACTATAAATAATTGGATAAAACAATTGTGCGAACCCTTATCACACCCTTCAATTAATACAATTTATCCTTCGATTTATTCTTATTTATACACTGTACTTTAACTTTTAAATCATGAATCATGTCGTTAGATATTGGAAACTTTACGCTGATATGCGCGCGCAATAAACTTAAAGTTAAAGAATAAAGATAGCATATTAGCATACAATGTAAGTAAAAATCAAAACATAATAATTCCTGTGATGTCATCCAAAACCAACATCACAAAAATAGAAATCAATAACGTACACAGAAGAGATCTGGATAGTCGAGAGATAATCCAAGGACAGTTTCTTGGATCTGTTCGATGGAATTCCATATATTCTCACGGTCACCTTCAATAGCTTTTAGCATCTCAGCATTGCAAGTGCCTGAATAATTTAAATTCGTAACCTTAAGTTTAACTATGAGAGAAAGGGAAACGATTGACAATAGAATTAGAATCAGCTTTACAGCTAAACGATAGAATCAGCTTTATTTCAGAATTAAATTTGCAATAAAATAATTAGACATTTCAATAGTTGGCATGTCAGATGATCATCTTGACTGATAGTAATTTACTGCACTAGCTTGTTTTACAGATTTAAGCCTAATTAGGTATTTTAGTATACCTATTAGGTATTTAGTATACTAAAATTACCTGTAATTTCTAGACTAAGAACGGAAGTAGATTTCAGTAGGTGGGGCTCGGTTGCTTGTCCTACCATTAACTGGTTCAAAACGTGTCTGTAATTTCGGAGATAGTATCATCATTTATCAAGTGTGATCTCATTGTCAAAACAATTGCTATGGATAAAAATAAAATCATAGATCTCGTTTAAAGTGTTGATAAAAATTACATACGGCGGTAATAACTGGCGCTGCATCTCGCTGAAAACGCCCTTTTTCGTTTGTATTTCAGAGTCAAACGATTTTATTTCCTTTTCTTTTTCCGAAACCATCTCTTTGAACTGCAGCAAAATGCACTGTCCCAATGTCATCCTGGAAAAAACCAGTTATAGTAATGATATATTCGTGATATCCCATGGTGTTGTGCTTATATTGCAAACGTCTAATAAATAACTCCAATCACAATGTATTATAATTTGACTCGATTCAATTATTCACTATACCTTAAAAATGTAAAAATGTACGTTCATTCGAAAAAATTGAACAACTTTCTTGTTTGATTTGGTCCCCCCCCCCCCCCCCCCCCCCCCCCCCCAAATATTTCAGGAATTAACAAAAAGAGTTTAACTACTCACGAGCCGTCTTCAATTTTAGGAACACAAGACATTCTCAAATGCTCAAAAGTAGGCCGATCATTAGGATTCTCAGTCCAACATTCCCGAGCCATGTTCATCACGTATATCTCTCTGTCATTATTTTTAATTCCACTGAAAGCTGGCCTGAAGGTCTTCGTTTTTGCCCCCTTCACCATATGCACGATCTCTGAACGGTTAATTTATTAATTAATTAATTATTTGGTTTTACTTGATTTGTATCAAGGTAAGGTTATGAATGCGAGATTTGATGGCTAAAATAATTGATAAATTTGATCAAAAGGATATAATGCATGTAATGGTCATGGCTGCGACCACCTTGGCTCCTTTATGCCTGACCAACTTGTCTTATCAACAAGTGACAAGATGGATTTGAAATGAAGACTTGCTGTAAATTCACAAACCATCAGCTCCGATGCCATTGTCGTCATGAGAATTGAATGGGCCAGAACAATCAATGATCTCGTGACACACAATTCCAAAGCTGTAGACGTCCCCTTCTCTTGTTCCTGTTAAGATATGAGCAGTTTATAAAACGAAAAATTAACCGTAACTTACTAAATTTTGATAGTTTTTACCTAATTTTTCCGGCTCTATAAACTAATTCAGCATACAATGCAGAGCAAGCTGATATTAAAGTACAACAGGGACAACATGTAGAATGTAGGTGCGGTAATATTTTGCAATAAGTCGTGCAAAACCCCGATTTACCACGGATGCTTCCTTTCCCTCAAACTCCACGGTAAATCGGGATTTTACTGTATTAATGCTTTACATACAAGTTACAACAAAGTCTTCATGTTATGTATCCTGGGTTTGAACAGGATATTACCCGCTTAAGATATTTCCATCGCGTTACATAATACTCAATAAATGTAATAGATTTGTAGTGTTGTAATTAATTTGAACGTAAGAATTTACCTTTTAACTCATTCAATTTCTCTTCATCTCTGAGAATTTCAGGTGCAGTCCACACAGATCTGATTTGTCTACTGATGTACTCTAGGTTGCCCACTTTCTGCTTGTCATTGGTCCTGTAGGATAAATCAAATGTCACTATTGTTTTAGATTGAGTTGTAACGTTTGTGCACTATTTAAGAAACCTTTTAACCCTATGTCACGACGTGGTATGAACCGTTACTCTACCTCATCAGAGATCCGAAGTCAGCTATCTTTGCGGTAAAAGAGCCGGTGATGAGAATGTTCGTGGACTTGAGGTACCCATGAGAAAGCATTTCGGTGAAGTTATGTAAGTAGTCCATTCCGTTGATAATGTCCACCACGAAACTCAATCTGAAGTTCAGGTCCAGCTTTGAGCTCGAATCTTCTAACACATCCTGTGATGATGAGAGTTGAGATTGGTAATAAGGGGTCGTTCACATATTACGTAATCACTTTTTGGCCAATTTTTAATTCCCCCTCTCCCCTCCAAATTCATTTTTACACATAGCTATTGTGTCAAAATTACACTAGCGTAATCATTTGGAACCCCCCCCCCCCCCCCTCTTCCCTCGAATGATTCGGTAATATGTGAATTGTGAACGACCCCTAATAGCATCAGATTAATGAAGGAATAATACACCGCCGCGGAATAATAGACTAGTTATACATTACTTTATCATATTTCATTGAACTAAGGTGAAGTATTGCCATTTGCCATATCCCAGTTCAATTTGTAACGGAGTTTTATATTAACAGGAAACGATGTAACAGAGTCGATATATTTTAATGTTGCCATGGGGTGGCAAGTCCCCATACATCGTGGTCCGGTATTTTTATTGCGTCCTAATATATGTATGATAATAGTAATATGATATAGTAATACGCACGGTTCTTTCATTTTCTACACTCATCGTTTGTAAGGTTTAGACTAAGCAGTATTCTTTGTAGTGACGGAGCCAACGAAGACTGCTTAGTATTTAGATTTTGTTGTTCATATTTATCTAGCGACTTTCTTTCTTGACTTGAATTATTGATATTTTTATTATATATTTTTGACTTGAGCGGGAAACAAGAACCATGTTTGATTTCATTGCAAGTGAAGAGGTGACTTGTCGTACTGAAAAGGTATAATATTCTACACATTCATAATTCATTAATCAAATTATTTAACCGCGATGCAACTCATTTTATAAACGAGAGTAATGAGTATTTTATCTGGTTATTTTATCTAGTTAAATTATAAATCGAACTCCCACCATGATCATTGATCAGATTAATATTACAATTTTCAGTGATAGGGTCGGTTAATGTCGGGTTTGTGGTAGATGGACTTGATAGAAGTTACAGCAACGAGAGTATCAATGGTACTACTACTAGCAACCCAAACCATCACTATCTAGTTTCAACGTTCTTTGTTGGCGGATGATGAAACTTGATAGTGGCAATGACGTGGCATATGAACTAGCGACAATCATGAAGATAACAACAATCTTAGCAACCAAACCATCACTATCTGATGAAAATTTCCTTGTTGGTGAACGATAAACCTTGAAGAAACAATACCCAAATATGAATTCAATGATGTGGCATATGAACTAGCGAAAATTATGACGATATTAAAATTATTATTCATTGCATTCATATTTTTAACAAAAATGTGTTTCATTTATTGCTGATTAATAACTAAAGCGCATATACGAAGTCTTACTCCGCTCTTTACATGATGGATGTAGTAAAGTAGTAAGTGTCCTAACGCACACAATTTAAACATGATAACAGAGATTCGTTAATTAACAGATAACAATTATTGCCCGTGAGAGATTTATCAATCGATGGTCAAATAGCTTAGCCTGGATCAATTATCACAATGTGCTTTCTATCAAGTACACGAAATCATCCACATTTTCTATGGCTTCTCCCGATCGGCTTTGAAGGTCGCTAGATCGATCCCATATTCAGTGTCATAACCTTAGTCATAACCTTGGTCTTGCCTTCGTTTGTGTGTAGCCCTACGCTCGCTGCTGCCGATTCTACACGGAGCAGAGACTCGTTTGCCTTGTCCATGTCTTCATATAATATATTAATGCTATGTCGACCGCAAAGTGATGATCTTTGGCCCCTCTGGCTTCTCTTCCGGGCAAGGGAGGTGACGAATACGCAATGATCCATGAATTCTCAGTTTTTCAATATAGATTTAGTTCAAATCTACCCTTTTGGTTCTTCATCTCCTTGGGATCTGATATAACAATCTTCCAAGCAGAACTTCTCGCCATACCAATGGGTATTTTTTGTGAAACTTAATTTCGAGATAGCAGTTGACCAACAAACTAGGACCACTGACCGAACTTTTGAGGGGGTCCCAACCACCTAACGGTGACCGCGGTGCAGCCACGCCCATGTGGATACTAAGGCGAAAATACCCCAAAAAAAGAACAAAATCGCCTGTATCTTCGTTCGAGATATTCACGGAATTGATTTCATTAATTTTGAAATAACTCAATCAGTTTTCAGGACTATACGTCCACAAGAACAGAACCCCCCTACAGCAAACAAGACTGGATATCATATCCACGTCCACCCTCAATAAAGAAGAAGAGAAGAACACCCAACGCAACACTCAGGAGTCAGGATCACCTTTCTCTTCGGCCCGTGGAGGGGCCCCGGTTTGTCCCTCCTTAATACTATTTATATTATTCTATATTATTGTTAATATTGTTTCCATATTGATATTTTCTATACACAGTCGGTTCAGTTTGTTTTGGTCCGGGCCTTGCTTACTGGCCCTGCCATGGCTCTCTAGCTTGGGCAGGTGTGACTTATATATTATATATATATACCCTTTTGGTGCAAGATTGTTTAATATCAGTGCAGGATATTATTTTAGATACTGCATGATGAACACAGCGTAGGTTAACTAATGGTTCTCGGCTCCCATAAGGGGCCATCTACTTAGGACGTCCACCAAAATCGCAGATTTCCAGACCCCCCTCCCCCTGTCCGGATGTTGGATGTGTCCGAATTTTGAAAACCACCCGACCCCCCTCCCCCGGACGTCCGGATTTCCAGCTACTTTTAAGAGTACAAATAAAACCAACTCAAATTCATTGTTAATAAAATGTGTAGTTACTTACAAAATTTTCGGATTTTCAGAAACCAACCCCTCCCCCTGTCCGGATTTTTCCGAAATTCCAAAACCACCCCCCTACTTTGCCGGACGTCCTAAGTAGATGGCCCCTAACCATTTAACCAATTGTTAAGCGCGGGAAATTAAAAACGTTTCTGTCAAGGTCAATGCCACAAGATGCGCTTGCGATGCTAAAATTAATATTGCGCGCTCCAACCACGATATTTCAGAGCGCATGAATTTCGATTACAATTTGCAAGAACACCTTTTCCATGAATTATATTAAAAAGTATGTTATCACCCACTTGAAGGGGATGGTTATTAATTATAAATTACTTAAATGATTAGCTATTCTAAATTGAATAATTATATTACCAACCGAAAGGGATCCTTTGGAACAGTATTCAGTGAAGACTACAGCATTGTTTAGTTGTGAATTCCAGACGAGGCCCCCAAACTGGACCACGTTACCGTGGATCATTTCATCGTACATCTGAATTATTGGCGTGTTTTAAATTGTATGTGTATTTTATACTAAATCAATATTTTCAACGGGTCATAACTTTACTTCTGTGTACCAAAATTACAAAAAAATTGGCAAATTTAAACTAACGCAAGCTTTCAAAAGCAATCATAACATGGACTCTGGGTAAATTTCCGAGATGTTCTGACTACTCGAGAGGTAATCTTTACACCTTTTTACTTCAGTTTTTTTCACAATTTCGCATGACGCATATTTATGAACATTCACTGGATAGTGGATACCTGCCAATTTGACAGGACTGCGAATTCAGTGGTCCAGAGTTCAATCATCAATCACAAATGAACATACCTTTTTCATTTCGATTTTGAAATCTCTGGTTGGATCTTTGATCATTCCATTCGCGAATTCTTCCAGCGGTTTCAAAGCCCATCTTATGTTTTTCATTACAGCTATGTCAGCGAATACTTGTTGCTTTCCTCCTCCACCTTCTGAACTGGATTCTATCCCAAGTGATGTCTGGAAGAAATTAGCTGATAATTAATTAAAACATACCAACATACGGTAATTAGTGATCAGTTTTATGTTACTGTACGATTTGATAAGAACTTTTTTTAAATTCACGGTATCCGTTTCTACAAACCATTGTAATCATTGTTCCAAGTGTTGCATTCATCCCCCCTCCACCTGTTGTTTGTCCTCCAATGGTTGTGCCCCCACCAAAGGTGGTGCCCCCTCCAAAGGTGTTGCCCCCTCCAAAAGTGGTGCCACCCCCAGCAGTAGTGCCACCCACAGCAGTAGTGCCCATCATTGATGATCTTATTCCCTGTCCAGGTGCCTCTGGAAATATCTTAGTTCAGGGTGCAATTCTATTCTTAAATCTAGTTATAACAAAGTATACGGAATGAAACACACAAAACATATTATTGTCAAGGAATCTGTATTGTATATTATATCCGATTAAACGAACTCTACACACTACAACACATAATATTATTGATAAAGATCCAATTCAAGTTAAACCCAAGTTAATATTTGAGGGGCCAGCCGCATTTTGCGCATCATACTAATTTGAAATTTCGGATCTTGATTTTATGAAGGAGCAGATTTGTTGCAATCTGTTTTAAGTTGCTTGCTACGTAGTTGCTATGCATTTATGTAGATCAACTGTTTGCAAAGACGTAGAATGTGAGCCCCACCTACAGACTTTAGACGGGGAGACTTTCTCAACAAGTACCACACTAACAGGAGACAATGCCCACCCTGACGTCCGTGCCAGGGGATTCTATCGTCCGGGACAGAACTCCTATTTCGACATAAAGTTTCTCAATCCCAATTCTGAGTCTTATCTCTCATCATCAACAGAAAAAATATACGAGAGAGCTGAAACTCAGAAGCGGATGTTATACAACGAGAGAATATTGAATGTCGAACATGGGAGTTTCTGTCCACTGGTGTACTCTGTCACGGGTGGTAGCGGGCCAGAAGCGAGAACATTTTTTAGATTATTGTGTGAGAAAATATCTTATAAGACTCAACAAAATCATTCAGATGTTGTCAATTTTTTAAGATGTAAATTATCATTTATTATCAGGAAGCTGGTTCTCCTGTGTATAAGAGGAACCAGATCTTCTGTCAATTCAGTTGACAAAAGTTGTGAAAGCGACTTTGAGTTCGCATGCTTTGTATCAAAGCTTAGCTAATTATGAGTCCTTATTATTATCTAACTTTTAAAACAATCTCGAAATAGTAAAGAAACATCTTAAGAGACTGATATAGATAAGTGCCCAAAAAAACATAACAGTTCTCTGAAAAATAAGGGTTAATTATGAGGTAAATAATTTTCTCCACAAAACTCTGTTAGAGGCAGTAGCCCTAAGATCATAAAGATCATTAATATCATGTAATGGTAGGTTTCTTTTATTCAAATCATTTATAATAAACTTTAAAAGATTACTTTGGTGTCGACCAACACGTCCTTTTATGGTAAATAACGCATTAACAGCAAATTGAAGAGCTCTCTGAGCTGGTGATGAGCAGTCACTGCGAAGGACATGTCCAAGCATTTTCCAGCGAGCATATGTCACTCGCTCTGACAACGGTGTTACACCACAGCGTTCATAGAGTGCTTTATTACTGATAATAATGGGATAAGTCATCTTCAATATTTGACGCAGGTGTCTTCTATGACATGCATCAAGTTTGTCAAATAGGTTCTGAGGGGTAGCCCAGCTATTGCAGTTATAGAGCATAACAGATGTAACGTATGCTTCGTATATCTTAATCTTGGTCTTCAGATTAATCTTAGATCCTTGCATCCAAACTTTCTTGTATTTTTCGAATGCAACATTTCCAAGGATTATACGATGCTGTATGTCTTCTTTACTACATAGCTTAGAGCCTAGGGACACACACTTCCTCCAAGGTTCTCTATTTCTTAGAGGTTCTCCTTTTTCGTCCTTCTCACTAGTTCCAGCCAGATAACACTTTACAAACTCGGTTTTAGATTCATTTACAAGCAAATTCCATTCTGAGAGAATTTCCTTGCAAATTGGAAGGAGCTGGTGTAACGAATCCTCATCTTCATCAGCAAAGTCCACATCATCAGCATATTCCCATTCTAGAGGAAGGGAGCTTTCAGATATGGGGGGATTTGGGCGTAGATGTATAACAACAACTCTAAGGTGGTAGAGTGCTCCAGCTAGGTACATGGTAAACAGCGAGCCGGACAAACAGTCACCTTGAAAGGCTCCTATTGTGGCTTCGAACTCTCCCGATGTCGTCTTTTTGATCTTAATTCTGAGCTTGGTGTTAGCGAGCAGATATCTAACTAGTCTTATGTCATCTTCTGAGCATCCTGCATCTTCGAGTAGCCTGAGGATAGTTGACCGACGCGATGTATTGTGTCGAAGGCTGATGACATGTCTATCCCCATTTTACTAAACTCCCAATGTTTCTCCTTGACAACAGAAATAAGAACCCTTTGTGTCCAGACTAGGAACCGACCGGAAATCCGGCTGAATCCGGTTCCGGCCGGATATCCGGTTTCAAAATCCGGTTCCGGTTCCGGCTCCGGCTGCAAAAAAATTTGCCGGATTTTTGCCGGATTTCAGTTTTTTTAACCGAAAAAAAAATCAAAAAAATATTTTCGGCTAATAATGAACAGGGTAGCCTGAATCGTGGAAAAAAAGTTGTTTTCAGAAAAACTTTAAAAAATTTTGACTTAGAAGTTTTTCGGTCCGAGTCGTTCTCGAGACGTACCTCCTGTATTGAGAGCTCCCGCTTCCGAGCTCGTATTGCAAAGGGGAGGCCTGCCTTTCGAGATCACATTACCAGGGGAAACCTCGAGTCCAGAATTGTGTATCGAGGGGTAGGTGGGGACTTCGAAAAACCGAAAAAATATTTTCGGCTAATAATGAACAGGGTAGCCTGAATCGTGGAAAAAAGTGGTTTTCAGAAAAACTTCAAAAAATTTTAACTTAAAAGTTTTCGGTCCGAGTCGTTCTCGAGACGTACCTCCTGTATTGAGAGCTCCCGCTTCCGAACTCGTATTGCAAAGGGGAGGCCTGCCTTCCGTGATCACATTACCAGGGGAAACCTTGAGTCCAGAATACAGAATAGTGTATCGAGGGGTAGGTGCGGACTTAGAAAAAACCGGAAAATATTTTGGACCACCTCCCTGGGCTAGCCCCCGGCTATAATCGCAAAATTGGCAGTATTTAATCTTCTGATTATGAAATACGAAATATGAGGGTCACGTGTTCAGGGTCTGGGTAGCTACTTAATTAGCTCATTACTGTAATCATGTGACTCAGCTCTAGACGCCAGACGGTGATTAGTACTGTACTAGACAGTGCCTGCTTACGAACAACCTTATTAAACACCTCTGGTTGTAAGTCACGTGACCCAATGATACTCAGACTTGCATGAAAAAAAGGGAATTCGCACAAACGCGCTCAATCAGGGGTCTGGCAGCATATGCCAATTAGATATCATTTCTGATTATTACTCGTCTAGTGTCGTGACTCGTGTCTACTCGTGTTACATTGTGTCTGCTACGTACTGCTTGTTTAAGCAATGTCTAGTAGTAGATAGGAAGATTTGTAAAAAAAACTATATCTGTTCGGACGTTGAAGCCGCCCTAAGTCGAGTCGAGTAGTAGTAAATCTAAAACATCGTCCGTCTGGTTGTTCTACTCAGAAGAAAATGGGATCCCTTATGCAAGGTGCAAGAAGTGCTCGATGAAGATTAGGCGTGGAAAGGAAGGAAATTTTCCGGCAAAAACCGGCAAAATCCGGCTGCCTTTTATTTCACTCTGAAACCACCGGTTCCGGTCCGGCAAAATCCGGCTTGCCGGATTTGAGATCCAAATCCGGCTGAATCCGGTCCGGCAGCCAAAACCCCAATCCGGTCGGTTCCTAGTCCAGACAATATTAGAGCAGCTGTGTCCTGATTTATAGGCATTCTGCCATGGCCCAGTGTAGTCTGCTATCTGTTGTTGAATACGCTGGAGTGTTATCATGGAAAGGATTTTCCTAGTTCCATTGAGAAGGCACAAGGGACGCAGACTCTTAACTGGTCCTTTTGGTTTTCCAGGCTTCTGTAGGGGGGGTAAGATATCCCTCAGTGAACGATTGAACGTGCTCTTGTTTTTCAAAGGACTCATTGATAAGTGATGCAAACTTCATGTAGAAAGAAGGAGGTGCATACTTAAGGAATTCGTTAGGGAGGTTGTCAGGACCAACGGCTTTACCGTTCTTTAGTTTCTTAGCTGCTGTCTCAACTTCAAGTGCAGTTATAGGCGTATCTAATGGCTTAGCAGCTCCAACAAAAGGTTCTAGTGGGGGTTCTGGGCCTGTGTAATGTTCCATGAACCAGTTCTTGACTATGTCTGCCTTATCTTCGTCATTGAGAGCAAGTTCTTCTGTTTCTGGTAGGAATACTGAAATAGGAGGAGTGTCCTTTGTGCTTGAAATTGCTCTGGTTGCTTCGAACATTCTTCTGGTATCATCAGTGGAGTTGATCGTCTCAGCTAGAAGGTCGGCATGAGCGGTTTCAAGTGTAATAAGGCGCTTTGCAATGTCATTCTTGAGTCTGTTGATTTCCTTACGCAGGATAGTTCTGTCACGCATTTTGTTGTCGTTTAAATGTTGTAGTAATTGGTGTCTCTTTTCTGACATAGAGACGACTTGTGGGTCTGATGTTCTGTGACGTTTGGCTGTGTTTCTTTTCATACCCACTGTTTCAGATGCAGCAATTTTAACCGCCTCGAAAAGGTTGTTAAAACTTTCAGTGACTGACTGGGCAGATGTATCAGTTTCAATCTTCTGAGCAGCATTTTGTTGAAAAGAACTTTGAACATCTTTGCTACAAACCAATGAGTTGGTGTTATACTGCTTGACTTTGTGTTTGGCAGTACTGTAAAGTTTGTAACGTTTACTGAGGTCAAAAGTTGCTTTTACAATTTTGTGATCAGATTTAAGTTTTGCACCAGCGTAAGACCTAGCGTCAACAAGCAGAGGGGTACTTCTAGATCTACATAAAACATAATCAATTTGAGAAAACCAGGGTACAGACTTTTTGGATCTACGGTCTTTAATCCATCCTGTAAAAGTGTTGGTGTGTCTGCTCGCATGTGAAAATGCAGTGTTGGCTGCATAGAGTCCATTAGTGATCATGAAAGCTAGCAACCTTTCGCCATTTTCGTTACGCCGACCAATACCATGTCTTCCCATGTTAGTTTGAAGACCACTTTCAAAATCTGATTTAGTCCGTTTCCCTAGCCTAGCATTAAAATCACCCATGATGAAAAGTTCATGTCTGGCAGGAATTCTGATAGCTTCCTGGAGCTCACAGTAAAACTCATCAGCAATGCGTGGGTTTTGTATAGATTTGACATTAGTTGGACTGTAGCAATTTATAATACGGGCTTTCAGTGATGGTTTCCCATGACACTTTGATGGTAGAGAAAGGTCCATGTATGCTACTCTGTCACTGATTTGATGGTACGAGACAACATTTGATACAAATTTACTGTTGATAATAAAACCGAGTCCGCCATGCCAAGACAACTTCTGGTTAAACAAAAGAAGCCTGTGGTTGCCGGGTATAACAGTGTCTGAGTGTTTAGACACCTTAGTTTCTTGGAGGGCTATAACATCCAAGTTGTATCTGTTGCAATCATTTGCAGCTAGATGCTGCGAGTGTTCCTGACTAATGCCTCTAACATTCCATGTGGCGAATTGGAGAGATGCCACCGTGAAAAAACCGAACAAAACAAAGCTGAAGAGAAGAACTGTAGGCTTCTTGGAAGCGTCAGACGTTCTGGTCGTAATAGTTACTCCCATGCGTGCCCGTCACAGCAACACACCATCCTAAAAATTGATTTGAGTCCTATGGACTCAATTAATTGTTGATTCAAATCTGGTCGATATACATTGTTGTAAATTATATTGTTATATATTATTCTATTTGTTTTCCAAAAAAATTTATGTAGATCCCCCATTTTAGGTTGTGGTAGCAAAAGTGGAAGAAACACAAAATGTAATACATAAACTACAAGTTACAAGAAAATTTAAAAAGTTATTCTTATTTGTTAAATTTTGAGCGGCAAAATCTGGCTGAGCATTCCTGACTTTTGTTATAGTCCTAACTCACTGAAAACTATGTCGACATCATCAGGATTAAGCTTCCAATGCATGGCATTACAATCCCTTTGGAATTGCCGGCGTTTTCTTCCAAAGTATATGACATCAGCAAGAGGGATACAGATCAACACTAAAACAACCACTAACACCGGGAAAAAGGACTTGAAGAAATTCTCCTCTGAAAAGTAGTTGAATGATTATTGGTTATAATTGATTATAATTGAATAATGATTATTTTTATAAAAGTTCCATTATAACAAGTGCAATGTGCATAAATTGAAACGTGTTAACTTAATAGCACACTCACATGTGATTCAATTCTATGCACAATTACAAAAACTAGGTTTATTGGACCAGTGCCAGCAATTTGTGTAACATTTGTTTTCTTACATGTTCATTTTTAGAGATAATATGAGGATTAACCTGGTGATGTCACATGATAACCTTTAAAAATTTAACATAAACAAAAACTTACTGGCACATTTGAGAGAATTATAGCTACATTTAGGTTCCTTAACATCTGCATAGTCATGATAGCTGCTATTAAAGTACCGCAGAAACTTAAAATCATCGTATCTGAACATTGTACAATTAAATGATAAGCGTTTTCGTTATTGATAAAGAAAAATTCAGAAAGAAATGTGTTCAGGTCATATATAATATGGTTAAATTTTATAGGAAGGCAAATCATATTATAGAAGCTATGATAGCTTCATAATCTACGAGGTCAAATGACTGGAATATTCCAGAATCCAGATAAATGAACTGATTAACTTTCGATGTATGCATTATATATCTTGTCTGATCTATAAAATTAATTAATCTGTACATAGATACGCTAATATGATTAAAATGTGGTTGCTCAGTACTCACATCGGTACTCCGAGTGTTATAGGGTTTCCGTGCAGGTCGGTCTTGGAAATATTGGCGTTGGAGTCTGCGGTTCTCTCGTACATCAGATCGTCATTTTCGGCTGTTCTCCGATGCGGCATCATTCCGGCATACCTCTACGAATATTCCAAATTCTTCAAATCAATGGTATTAACAGTGAAAATTCCAATTCTGGACCAGTGCAGTTTGAGTCCACACAGCTCGAAATTATCTAAAGAGTCTTAACTCTTAAAATCACATAAACTTTTGCAATTTGCATGCGCTATTGATACGAGCAAAGCTCGCTGTATGTATCGGAGTAATTATTAAAAATAATCCAAAATATACTAGAGGATACGATGAAGTTACTCACATGCCATTTTCCATCGAGATACATTTTTATAGTCCACGGTACGGCACCAAACGGCCTGAAGAGCTATGTTAAATACTGATCCAGATTTTTTAATAATTTACCTGTTTTAACAAACAATGCCCAAGTTTGTTGTTTTCAGGTTAAAAATAAATCTGTTGCCGTTCCCGCGGGGCCAGGGGCTAACGTTACTGTACCTGTTGTCTTTGAAGGTGTAACGGTTAACATAATCGTGCCAAGGGCCATCGTTAACAAGGACCTTATATTTTGTTTTCCAATGTGTCTCGTTGTAACTCTCCACATTCGGGACATCATATCCAAACATTCCTGGTCAGTGGTAAAATTTTATCACAGAACACTGAACAGGGTACAGTAAAACCCCGATTTATCACGCCCCGATTTACCGCAAACCCGGATTTACCGCGGCCATCTCCTTTCCCCCGAATAAGGCTTAACATGCATTATGTAAAGAAACAGAATGCCGATTTACCGCGGATATTTCCCATCCCCAAACTCCGCGGTAAATCGGGGTTTTACTGATTCCACATCATCAAAATACGTTAACAATACCTCCGGGCTCCGAACTACAGATATTTTTTAAGTGCTTATAATATGCGAAAACTGAACCCCGACTCAATTCTCAATAGTTGATCGGTCGCTATAATCTCACCTGGCCATCCTATTCGTGTCATATCAGCAGCGGGTTGGCTGTTTGTATCAGAATGAGTAGATCCATCACCGAACAAGTTCATCAGGGTGTACTCTCCGGACTCCGAGACAAACAGCTCGGGGTTTGATCTGTTCAAAACAGCAGCGAACATTCCCCATATGACGGAGTCGTGTGCAAATGAAGCCAGAGCAGTTGCCTGTTTAATGTATTATTTTATTTTTAGTAAAAATCCAAGACGTTTTGACATTGTTACAACGAAAAACGAAATACGTTTTATAAATAAGTTAGTAAGTAAAAATTATGACATCACATGATCACAAATGTCTAAAGAGTATCATCACACTATATAAGTATATTGAGCGGCCAATCCACCGTAGTGTTTGCCAGGCGAATACTCAAAAAGTAAAGTTCAGAAATCTTTGACTACAAAGTCAAGGAGAATATACCCCGTGTACCTAGTGCAGTGATTAAACAGACAATTTTTCGGGGGGCGGGGTGGGGGTCATACACTTAGAACCGTACGTGACGTTGGGGGGTGGGTCATATTTTCTTCCAAAACACAGTTAGTACATGGTATATTTCCCAGAAAAACAGTTAGTACATGGTACTAAGAGGGGTGTCCAACCTCAAAAAACCCATTTTAACTCAAATTTCAATTTTGGGAATGGGTTTTTTGGGTTTTGAGAGTTTTTTTTGGGGTTTTTAAAAATTTATTTTCCTTTTTTTGTAACTTTTTATCTAATTCGACTACATTTAAAACAAAACTCCTACTAAATAGTGGGTATAATTTGCCCATTTCCCTATGTTTAATGAGCTGTTTAAAGCATTTTATGGGTATCTTATTTTATATACCAAGACACAGTTAGTACCGTGATTTCTCAAAAGTTAGTACCACAAAACCCGGGGGTGGGTGGGTCTTTTGACAAAATTCCAAAATTACACTTAGTCGACGTCACGTACAGAACTTAGTACCTGATCCCCCGCCCCCCCCCCCCCCCCCCCCCCCCCCGTATTCTTCTGTTGAATATAATAATGTAAATGATTCCTTATTTCGCGACTTACTCTATATCTCATACGCTTTAGTTTACCCATCGTGTAACCATCTTTATACTTAATTCTGTAGAACGCTAGCCAATCTCTCCTGAAAATCATACAATATCTGTGGCGATTTGTCATAGCCTTGGGAGGGGGTGCATCCATTTTTGCGATATAAATGGACAAATAAATAAACTTAGTGATATATGTATTTGAAGAACTACAGAACAGTGTATGATCACAAATAACATTTTTTGTTTTTAAGATTTGTCATCAAAAACATAAAAAAACATGTTAATCGTCTTCAGCTGTCGGAACCTTATTATGACTCGTGGTTTGCTAATATATTATATCATGGAATTGGAAAGTAAAATAAGGTACGTGAGATATTCAGAACAACATGGTTACGTTTTCTTACTCAAACGTATTCCATCTTTCCATATCTATTTCTTCCTCTCTGGTGGCATATTTTCTATTATCATTGTAGCTTTCTTCACCGATTTCTGGATCATATTCAGTTCTGGTGTTCAAAGAAAGAGGATCCAACTTCCATCGTAGTTTGTCAACTCCGTTACTTCCGTCGGTGGACATGTTAGTCGACTTTGACCATTTCCATGGTCCTCGGTTATGAGAATTGTGGCATATCGCGAAGCAACCCTGAAATTTATTAACTTTTCAATGCATCTGTTAATAAGTCAGTATTTGCCGAAGCGATTATACATGTAATATGTAATCTTTATCCATCAAATACACCAAATACATGGACGTGACCCAGCCGAAATTATTAGCCTCTGATCAACATTACACCTTTACACTAACCACTCAGGGTACGAATCTCAAGAAAATATCAATAATTGTGTGTACCTCAAGAACCAACCGCGCAGTAATTTCATCGTACTCCTTAAAGAAGGCATATCTGCTGAAGTGCTGAACTTTAAAGACTTTTCGGGCCTTTCTAGAGGGGTAAATCAAATCCGGGCACGGTGCACCTGTTTCTGGGATGAGGACGACACCATTTTTATTTGTACCTTTCGTCTTAAATTTCAAGCTTTGTCTCAACTCTCTCAACATGTAACGCATAAACATAGGTTTACCGATGACAACGTAAACTGAAAAGATTCATAAAATATTGCTTGATGAGGAGTATAAATTTAGTTTTTTAAATCACAAAAAATTTCCGTCCGGTTGTTTGGCCGTTGAGCAATTATTCCGGGACAAAGCAAAGCAATGACTGCACTTTAAATGACAATGCTGACCTCCAGGCCACACGGCAAGCATATCTAATAATTAATTCTAGATTATCAATGAATGATCATTGATCATCATTAATCAAGTTTATTAAGCATTAAAAATCATAGTTGTACAATTTACATACGACGTGCACTTCTGTATGTTTTCGATAAGTTTTCTACTGAAGTAACCAAATTTCTAAATCCTTTCAATACGTAAAGATCTGCTGCAGTGCTTTTCTTAACCGTGATATTCACAGGATCTGAAATGCGATTAATTACAAATTTTGAATTGATTTGATAACGATTGAGCGTGATTCAATTCAACATGCTCGAAACAGTTCATCCAAGGATTGAAATCAGCACTCTCCTTAGTTCCTTAGTCCCGGTCCTGGTCGACCTTGATCATGTCACTCATGACACTACTTGAACTAATTATAATTGTTGATACCTTTATTTCGTTTGACCAGTTCCACATTAAGATTATTTTTAATAGCTATAGCCCAACGTTCACTGTATCCAGTTTCAGTAATTATGGCCACGGCTCCAATGTCCCAGCCAGTCTTGATTATTATCTGAAGAATTATTCTTGTGATGTACAAGTTAAAAGATTCCCTTTCATTATATCATTGTTATCTTAGAAACAAGAATTAGTAAAATAAATGAAACCAAAATCCCTTCGATTACCCAAAACAATAAAAATAAATTACGTAAGCAAGCTGTTCAACGATCATCCAGTCTTCATGTCCAAGGACGAGGGTAGCATCCATAAAACCAGGCGAGAGTTTATCAGAGCTACTTTGTGGCCATATACCTGAGGGACATCAGAACTGTCAGCAATTGTAAAATATTAAAGATATTAAAAAGGTTGGAGATCACAACTCAGTGGATATATCGTGACGTTTTTCTAAAGAGGGCTTATCAATTTTGTATCTAATTAGTCTAAAAGAAATTCAAATCGACATTGCATAAGTTACATAATTATAACTATCAATGATTTTAAGTACCTTCGTTTACTTTCTCTGAAACTGCTGGCACTATATTTAGGACATTTAAGCTCTTTGCTATTATAGACGTATAGTAAGCATTCTCAGTTGATCCAATTATTCCAGCGAAATCGTCTCCAAATAGATTAGCGATATATTGGATTCTATCGTTCAGCTTTCCCAATGATGAGGATTTCCCACTTACACCACCAAATTTCTCGAGGAAGTCAACTTTCTGGTCAGACGTTAAACCGGTACCATCGGGCAAAATGAAATGTATATTCTCTCCTTTCTTAAGTAAAGGGATGCTTAACGATTTCGTATCGCTATTATCTCTAAACGAAAGAATGTGCCCTTCTGGAGGATTGTTTTTACAGTGAAGACCAGCAACTATAGCAGGGTCGTTGCTAGGTTCAAGGCCACTTGGAGAACAAAATCCGATGTCATAATTAGAATTTACAAAGCAGTTGGAACCAGACTCAGAGCCATTAATTCCTTTGCAATTTGCAACATACTCTGCGTTGGACTGATAGAAATCGTTTTTTACTAAACCGGCATGCACTCTGGGAGAACTTGACCATAACCGTAAACCCTTCTTAATCTTGTCTCTTGCAATATATATTGCTGGGACTAATCGGAGACCATGGTTGAAAGGTATTGATTCATCCTGCACAAAGAGATTAAAACGAGATCTTAGATCCCATCTGACATCAACATAGAAAATGAAGTTTCTTCCCACAGCTCCAGCTATGAGGGCAATCAAAGTCCATAGACCCAATTGCATGCCTGAAAATATTAAATGAATGGCACATAATTACTTTATCTTTAAAAGTTAGCAATTTAATCTAAACTGATTATTAACTGTTCCTTGGTAGTTGGTATACTCTAGATAAATTATAAAGAGGGGGGGGGGGGGGGGGGCGGGCGGGCGGGCGGGCTTGGGGCTTATTCATGTTAGGGCTTATTTCTCAGTCACTGAGTGCCTAATAAAAACAATTTTTTTCTGGTATGGCTGGCTTTCTATTATTACTCATTCGAGGAATATATCAAATCAAATAATGATGATGTATATTATATCAATTCAAATAATGATGATGTATATTTTTCCGACTGAATGATCGCAGTTTTTTAGGTGGTTTGAGGCCTGGGTTTGTGTTCCAGAGGTGGTAAATCGGGTGCTAGTAAAGCTCAGGTAACTGGCTCCTTTTGCCAACTTATTATTATTAAATCTAAAATAGCTAATAATTTAACTAATTATCAACAGGCCCCTTTAAGTGGGCAATAACATACGCTTTATAAATTACTAGCAGGAACCCGTATAATATTGCCCTAAATGGTGTCAAGACTCAAGAGACTAAAATAATTATTACCTATTTCATTCGCGTTTTTGACACCACTCGGGGGTCCAAATTTTGGGCTCTAAAATCACTATTTCCTCCTGATATGTAACTAAATTTGTTCATAAAGTTTGTAGGACAATTGTCATGGATGATTCTAAACATATAATTTGACAGATGGAGTTGTCGTCTAAGATGGAGTGGTAACCATTTCATGTCTCTATAAACATTAAGGCTGCTCTCTGTTTGTGGAACGTTGAGAGCTATTTTGGCTACCTTTTTGCACAGAGTGTCAAGTTCAGCAAGTTTTGTCTTGCCAGCTCTACAATAGATCGTGTCTAAATAATCGAATTGTGGCAACATGAGTGCATTGGCAAACATTTTCCTATATTTAATGGGTAGCAGTGCTTTACTTCTATACATGGCACCAATTCTCTTCATGACCTTCCTAATCATATAATCTACATGGCTTTTGAAGTTTAATTTACTATCTAGAATGAGGCCAAGATGAGGCTATCTAGATATCTGGTGCAGCGACATTTTATCCCATAACTTCAAAGGGAAACATTTTAGGGTGTTTTGTTGTTCATAACTAATATATAAATGTGCTAGTTGCGGTTATTTTGCGCCCTTCAAAAAGTCACTAGCACATTCCTATCAAAATTTTAGAAAAATCAGTAAATATGAAAAACGAAAAATGTGCCTAAATTTGTTGTTTAAATTTGAAGTCCAATAGACTAGATCTGAAGATAAATGAGTAAAAACATTTTTGAGGGCATCAAAAACTGCGCCAGAATTTAGAGAACAATGTCATGTCCAGCATCAAATGAATCCGATCTTCCCTGACTGACTTTTTGGTTAAAATAAGTCTGAAAAGGACAACTTCAGCTTCTTGACTTTTTTTTACTTTAAAAATTTATAACACACCAGCCTTTTTAGATACGATATCAAGATTTTACACACACCTTGAAATAGATTTGAATAAACAGCGAGCAAAATTTCAAGCCGATACCGCAAGAAATGATTAACTTATAGCCTCTGTTTTTCCGAAAATTCCACTCTAACCAGGAAATGCTCGATTACAAAAATGGGTATTCTCAAAATAATTTTTTTGATGTGGAATAGGTGCGCTAGATGGTCACTGAACTGCCTATGAGGTCATTTGGGTTGGACAGGTTTGGTGTATGCCCCCTTAAGTACTGACCTACGTGTACGTCTGAACGGGTATAATTTTAATATCTCACGAGGTCAGTATGCTAAATTATCTCACAAAATTTCATTTTCATTAACAATACTTTGAGTTTAAGTGCAGCACTGTGAGTTTTTCGGCGCAGTGCCGTAATTTATAAATTAAATTATATATAAAAAACAAATTCAAGTCTATTTCCGATTCTGTTACTTGTCTAATGTCTCTTTAGAACTGCTTCGATTTTTCATTGTGGGAGTTCCCACATTTGTTGGTAGAGAATGCTCAACACAACATACACGATGCTTGACTGCTTTATTGACCCGGGCAGGCACCGGGGGCAGACAACAGTGCGTTGGGACATAGTGTTGGTCTGCTTTAGGATGTGTTAGATCCCAGAGAAGTCAGAAGCTGCCATCCCTTCTACTGCTTTAGCTCAGCGGCAGTATGAGCCCTGGTTTCCTGCCACATTGGTACCTCTGAAAGTACAGAAGGGTGGTGGATTTCGGGGTCCAGGATCCTCCCTCTTTATTTTTAAGGTGGTATCATTTCCCTGAGATGTTTGCAGAGTCTTTATTTTATCATATTACACCCAAGTTGTGATCCAAGGTTGATAGCTAAGATTTCTTGTGAGACCGTTTAACTTTATTGGTTTCTAATCTACCTAGTTGGCTAAATCCTGGAGAGATTCATTTTGTCCCCAAAGAAATTCAACCCTCCTAATCAATACTTTTTGTGTGCTGCTTTTTGTTGATATATGAGAACTTCTTCTAGATAAGAATAGGAGTCAGCTCCATTCAGTTCTTGTTTCAGTTGAAGGTAATTACTAACTGGTGTCCTGAACTTCGAGACATAGTAGAAGCTGGTGTTCAAGAGAATCATCAAAGATTACTACAAAAACGACAGGTTTCACCACTGTTTTCGCCCATGATCTTCTGGATACCTGCAAAGAATGGTGAGCGGCCGTGAAAACAGTGGTGAGGACTTCGACGCGCCGGGCAAATTATCATTCTTACCTGGAAGGGGATATTTAAAACATATAAGTGATACGAAAAGATGTTTATTAGCAGGAGGTATGGAAGTCGGCATCTGTAGTTGCACTTTTTAAAAAGGGCTCTAAGTCTGACCCTCTTAACTATAGACCAGTTTCTCTTACTTGTATTCTTTGTAAAGTTTATGAACAGTTTGTTAGATCCCATGTGTTAGAATTTTTAGAAGACCGTATTTCAAAGGACCAACATGGGTTTGTTAAAGGAAAATCTTGTTTGTCAAATCTTTTGGAGACTTTCGACACTATACTTAATTTAATAGATGAAGGTGCTCCTGTGGACTTATTTTATTTTGATTTTAGTAAAGCTTTCGATTCTGTTCCCTAGCTTGATTAACAAGCTAAAGAGTCTAGGGATAACTGGTAAAGTTTTAGATGTAATTACAGATTTTATCTCAAATAAAACTATGAGAGTGTGTGTAGAAGGTGAAACTTCAGAGTGGAAGATTGTATGGTCAGGAGTTCCCCAGGGATCAGTCCTTGGACCATTACTATATGTGTTATTTATTAATGATTTACCAGATAACATTAAAAGTAGGCCCAGTGACATAAAGTGAGGAATCTAAGAATTTAATTCCTAGCCATATTAATTTCCATAGCCACGCCGACTAATTTTTGTCAACAAAATTATTAAATCAACTTTAAATAGTCGGTCTCGGTTGTTACACACTGTAACGCCGCGCACTGTACTTTAATTCTATATTTATCCGAGAAGATGTTCGATTCGAGCGCAAATGCCAGATTCCCAGCAGATTCCTTGCTCTAACCAGAGCCCTCTCGCTTGCAGTAGCGCGCGACCGCCGTAGGCGGCAAAAGAGGGCTCTATAGATGGCCACAAACTGGCACCACAAATCGTGGTGCCAGATTTCCTCCCATATTTCTGATGCCGCGCGCGACGTGTTAGTCATGTCTAGTTACTGCAACTGTTAGACTCGTGCATTGCATTTGCACATATATAATCAGTGCAATATTTTCTCGTTGGATAAGAGTTTTTGGAGGGAATTAATTTAATCTCTTTGTTCAATCATTTCATTTTACAACTGTTTCCTGTTTCTTTGTTCGTTGCCATCATTCGGCAGCTGATCAGATCATTCGGCGGATGTTTCTTTGTTCGTTGCTTTTATTCGGCAGCTGATCAGATCATTCGGCGGATGATTCAAAGGGAGACAACTTTAAAGGTGTTTGAAGGTCAGCTGAAGGTCAGCTGAAGACGATTTACACAAATATTTTGAAAGCTCCTGCTAATTAAATCCTTGCGTATCACTTATATGTTTTTAATATCCCCTCTAGGTTTAAAGGTTTCTGTTAAATTGTCAGTAATCAGCAGACTTTGCTACACTTTTGTCATTTGCAATTGGACTTAAAATATGTTAAAGCTTGTCATTGTCTATAATTTCGAAATAGAGTTTTGTAGGGAACTAATTTAGTCTCTTTGGTCAAGCAACCCGGAACCCCATGAATAGTGAATACTGTTATTATCATCTCCGAGTTCACAACAGGTATGGATTTTATTCATAATATATTGAGGCACTTATAGTATAGTTCAGTCATTTCATTTTACAACTGTTTCCTGTTTCTTTGTTCGTTGCCATCATTCGGCAGCTGATCAGATTATTCGGCGGATGTTTCTTTGTTCGTTGCTTTTATTCGGCAGCTGATCAGATCATTCGGCGGATGATTCAAAGGGAGACAACTTTAAAGGTGTTTGAAGGTCATCTGAAGGTCAGCTGAAGACTATTTACATAAATATTTTGAAAGCTCCTGCTAATTAAATCCTTGCGTATCACTTATATGTTTTTAATATCCCCTCTAGGTTTAAAGGTTTCTGTTAAATTGTCAGTAATCAGCAGACTTTGCTACACTTTTGTCATTTGCAATTGGACTTAAAAAATGTTAAAGGTTGTCATTGTCTATAATTTCGAAATAGAGTTTTGTGGGGAACTAATTTAGTCTCTTTGGTCAAGCAACCTGGAACCCCATGAATAGTGAATACTGTTATTATGATCTCCGAGTTCACAACAGGTATAGGTTTTAAAATTCATTATATATGGGGGGGGGGGGGGGGCCGGGGGCCGGGGGGGGGGCAACCAACCATATTAAAGTATATTTAAGTACATCCCGGGTCAAAATCGGAAAAAATCCTACATTTTAATATACTTTAATATACCTACAATAAGTAGATTAGAAGATAAGCCAATTGCTAGTCCCCTGAACTCATACTTCATATATTTTGGCTCATAAATTGGTCAAGTATCAATATCTTTGAACAAGACTAACTTTACATGAAAGGTAAATCTAATCTATACATGAAATAAAACAACATTTTTCACATGTATTTTTATAATATAGGTATATTAAACATGTTAAAGTATATTAAAGTATATCCCGGGTCAAAATTGGAAAAAAACCTACATTTTAATATACTTTAATATGGTTCAAAATTTTAATGGAGATAATATAGGTATATTAAAGTACATTAAAGTATATTAAAGTATATTAAAGTATATTAAAGTATATCCCCGGGTCAAAGTTGAGGCACTTATAGTATTAGTTACAGCCAATATAAAGTTCTCAACTAGATTATCAAGTTTTTAATCTTTCGCATAGAATTGAGAAACAAGAATGACCATCGATTTTAAAACCATTTTAATAAATTAACGGGGTTTTCATCACACCATATCAAAACAATTCAAATAATCCGCTCCTACTAAATCGCTCGTCTCAATAAAATATTGTGTGAACTAAAAAGGTCCTAATCAGGGTATGAAAGTAACCTGAACCGGTGTATTTTTGGACGCTGATTCCAAATCACCCGGTCGATGACGTAGTAAAAATGCTTCCCTAAAGAATTAGGGACAAAAACTGTTTCGGTCCGGTCTGAGGCTACTGTTATGATTGCGGTTAAGGTTCGACCGGGATCCCGGCTTAATCCCGATGTCGGTCAAAAATCTTCCAATTATTCGTCCCCAATTAATTCGTTATTAATTAATCAATGAAACACTGTCAGAGTTATAAGTGCCAGTTTGTTAGGTGAGATGTGCTTGTGCTTGTAATCAATAAAGGATACCATGGGGTTGTTATAGTGTCAGAGTTGGTTAAGCTGGTTTGTTGGGTAAGCTTATGCTGTGTTTGTGCTTGTACATACTATTGTAATTATAAAATAGGTATTGTAATACCTATAAAGTAGCGGATACCAGGTTTTAGCTGCAGTTTTTAATTATGGTGAGACGGCTTGTAATCAGTACAGCTATAAAAGGATACAAAAGTTGTTGTGTCAGAATCTGTAAATTAACACATGCTAGTATGCTACCCTACGCAATGTCCTCATCACCTGATCCGTCAGTATAAATCTAACTGGCTCTTCATTTGACTCCGTAACCATACTCTCGTCGTACGAGTCGTCTTTGTTCATATTGTTCGGGGTAATGTAATATAAACAATAAACAATCAGGAGGGAACTTGAACTGATATAATATTTCGTAGTTTCTGGCTCTTCAGTCGTAGTTGATCATCAAGTTGATTTCTAAGTTTTCCGGCAGGATGCTCAGTCAACGTTTTTCGTCACCTTGAAAGCCGGCCCCCTTTCACTCGCGACTGAGAAAGGAGGTGGACACAGATAGATTCAGACAAGCTGGTTCAGATGTACAGAGTGTGATTTTTCCGACAGACCTCCAGGAGATTTCGTCTCTGGGGCTCCAGCTTGTCTTTCAAATATCTTGTAACCTTGTCCCTTACCAACAGTACCACAGTATTAGATATGCCCTGCCTACTAGTTTAGCTTTATCTCTTTATCTGGTACCCTGCTATACAGTATACATGTTTACATATTAATTGCGTTTAAAACCCTCCAACATCTCCCCCCCCCCCCCCCCAACATCTCTCCCCCCCCCACCACCCCCTTCTCCTGAGCGAGTGATTACTAAACATGTGGATGACCCCTTATTATACAAAGGACCATAGGTCGTCAGAAATAGCATACATTGATTATTGATGTACACGCTATATAATACACATTACAGTGTAAAGTTACACTGATCTACAGTTCATCTCTTAATGGATTATTCCAGAATTGCGCGCGCACACGTGTTATGATCAAACAGATCGTTTCATAATCATGGCATGTATACCGTCGTTATATACACGCTCTCGTTGTGTGTACGTTTTGATCTTTAATATTTGATTTGATGCAACACATCACTACAGCAGCTACAATTGTACATTTAGACTTTACTTTGCTCCCAATTATAGTCCCAAACTTTCTAGTAGTTCTGAAAAAGCAAGATTTTCTATGATACAGCGACTTTTTATATCGCTGCAATATAATTTAGACTTTAGAGCCAAGTTACTTTTAGATAGCTGATCTTCAGGGCTCTTTCCCCTCAAATGATTGTAAAGCCCGCTCATGTTTGACAATATTTACACTGACAGAAATTGGTCATCTAATTTTATCTTGTTCTCTCACAAACCTGAGTATTAACCAGTGTAACTTTTCTAGGAGCTGCCATTTATGACTGGCATCACACACTATACACCTTGGGTTCTTGGACTATTCAAAGACAGGACAAAACCTATAATGCTCCAGCTCTACAAATCCATGGTATTAAGATCCAGCGAGTGGAGTACTGCTGCTCTGGAATCCAAAAAAGATCTATAATATCCAGTCAGTCGAGAGCATACAACGCCAGTTAATTGTAGACAGATTCTAGGGCTCAAAAACACCGACTATTGGAATAGACCGAAGGAACTGAAACTTATATCCCTGCTGGCTGCTAAGATGCTGAGAAGGCTAGACTCCATCATACATCTGTGGAAAGTTCTCCAGGGATATGTCCAAATTACCTATAGATGATCGATGTACAGTTCAGAGAGAATGCCAGACTGAGAGTTAAAGTAATACTATCTTCTCTCACCAAAAAAATCAGCTTCTTCACGCTCCATGCCTACGACTACTCATTTGCAGTGAAAGATGGAAGACTTGGAATTTTCTCCCCTAAATTGACAATAGTGACAATATCAAAAGACTTTGGCAAGCTTCAAGACATTTCTCGGAAACGGGAAACCGCAGATTGCGTGATAACCGTGAACTTACCTATTTCTACTCTTCTATATAAGTTCAATAGGTTGGACCAAGAAGTTCTTGGGTAACATTGTTTTCTATCCTATATGTGACCTCTGCTGAGTTTCGCCAAGACTTGACGGGCCATCACATCTTCTGACCACCCCACCAGTATCGCTTGTTGCGCCAGCACAGCAGAGAGTTCGTGAGGAGGGCCTGTTTCCCTGATCGGCGGCTTATTGTTGTCGCTATAATTGCAATTGTCCAAACAACCTGTTGTAAGTAGAGCTGTGTTTATTCAAATTGACTGATGTTCAATATAATATTATAACCTCGACAAATAGAATAGTATGTTGTTGGTTTAATTGATGCACAATTAATACGCTGAACTTATTAGATTTATTTTATTGGTCAATAATTTTATTGGTCAATAAACAATAAACTCACTATATCGCAGTTAATATCATTTCTTCTGTCAGTGAGTTGGTGCCAGTTAATAAAGCAAAAGTTCAACGGAGGTAGTACACACACTACACAGTACTATGGTAGACAGAGAGCACGGTACGTTTTATTTTAATAACTTCTCAGTAGTGAGAATATCACTTTTACTAACTTCTTGTCTCCCTTTAGTTTATCCCGCAATAAGTGACTTTTACCAATGTGGTAATTTAGCCCTCCCATGGTTGTTGTAGTGAACTGGAACTTGGGGCATTTCTGTTTAAGCCTTCGTTATAGATAAGATTATCGTAGTCACCGACATCCACCGACATATTGTGTAATGCTTAATAACAAAATTTCTGAATTAAATGTAACCTTGTATTGGGCTGAAATACTAATAATAATTATAATGATAGGATTATGGGCTATGGCCACATTATACATAGCCATTTAGACAAAACTTGAAACCCATGAACTGCACTCTTCGCTATTGCAGTTCACACAATATTTTCAAAAAGAAAAATGTTCCTATCCGGAAAATGTTATGATTAATTATTTTTAGTGTTATGATTAATTATTTTTAGAACATGTAGTTCTGAATTTAACAACCAAAAAACATTGATTCCTCGGTATTTAGCAATCAATGGCTTATTAGACATGAAATATGCATATGAATCATGCTCACATGTATTTATTTTTGACATCAAGGTTTCGTTAAGATCCTAGAAGTGAGCCTTTGACGATGCTGCACTCGCTATCAGTCGAGCTTTGAATGCGTCTACTGAACTGGCTTCTTTAACCGAACTTGGTACTTTGTTCCAGTAATTGTTAACACGGTTACTGAGGACCTGATTTCCTCTTTTATCTTAATTAGAATCTTGGTACCGCTACGTGATATCCTGAAAAGATCTTGTCCATAGTCCACTTTGCCCGTCGTTATTTTAAAGGTTTCAATAAGATCACTCCTCATACGGCACTCCAGTTGTGTTGTTAACTGGAGGATTCTCAGTCTCTCATCGTATGGTAGAATACCAATCCCGTCGATTATTCGTGTAAGTTCTCTCTTGAACATATTCTTAATAGTCTTAATACTTTAATAGTTCTCCAGTTTCCGTGCTCTGCTGGTAGATTCCACACTTGCACAGCGTATTCGATGTGAGGTCGAACTAGAGTTCGGTAAACATTCAGCATAACAAATTTGTTACGGCAGATCAAGCTTCGTTTGATCCAGCCTATAACAGACTTTGCTTTTTTCACGGACTTGTCTATATGGAAATGTTATACTTATTAAGAAAAGCCGGTCCCGCCTAGCCTCCTATCATAATGAGCCAATGTTGCGATTGTACAATCAATACTTTTAACACGTCACGTCATCGTATAATTGCTTGTCATTTTATTAGCTCTTCGGAAGGAATATTGAAATGGTCCTACCGCTTACGTCAACTTTTGTTTGTTTGTTTGGGGACCAGCTTTTGGTACATTCATGGTTAATGTTTACTATAATATAATTTCAAAGTATTACATGTAGAGTAATTACATAGAATTAGATAAATATGAATTTCTTTTGCTTAGGATATACCAATATGATATCCAAAAATGAAACGATGTACCTTACGCTTCGCACACAACACAACTGGTAGTTTTTCCTCAAAAAAAGAGCCCTATATACATAGCTAAACCTGGCCTGGGTGAGACCTGCATCACGATTGCTATTCAGTGATGTGTGCTCTACAAGTCATCACATACCTGAGTTACAAACACGGTTGTAATATAATGATACTTATTACTTTCCTTCATTTTTACAATAAGTTTCTGATGAGCTGCTTTCTCCTCCCTATTTCTGTCAGGTGTGATGAACCACGTATATGGTACGCTGCACATTTAGATTTCTTCAGGTTTCTTGATCGAGCAGCAACCATTTTGACTGATCCCATGCAAGCCAATGTCACTTTTATCGGTCTCGGTTTACCACTACCGTATCTGCATGTTTTTTAATCCTGATCAAATTTTCTGTCACCAATTCAGGATCACACTACCGATGATTCCCAAATCTCGGTGATCACTTCTTCTGCCACTATATGTGGATCACTGCCCTAATTGTCTGGTACACCGTATACAATGAAATTCTTTCTGCGGACGTTTTTAACAGCTGTCTTTATACTGTCTTAATCGACGGAGCACCGGTAGTTGTTTCACAGCCCTTTCACAGTTCTCCTTGACGATGTCACACCAAGTTTTTTCATCTCAGTTTGTACAGTTTGCTGGACAGAGTCGAGCTCTTTCTGTTGCTGTTTGAACTGATCCTTCTGATAATTAGGCTGCGCTGATACCAGTCTGTCTCGTACTGGCCGCAGATTTACATAGTTCAATATTGCCTGTCATCAATTTAGAAAGATTTTCAACAGCAGTAGCCAAGGGGTCTTTCGTTATACCCATCAATCTCGAATGATTCAGCTTTGTTAACGGTTTGAGTTTTCGAGAGTTACAAAGTTCCATACTTTATTGTTAGTACTTTGGTCCGAGACATCAATTTTGTATGAAAAGCATTAAGACATCGGCAGCGATAACTCTTTTTCAAGTTTGTTCAAATTTTCCACAGAGTTGAACTCCATAGTACAAAGACAAGCTGATTAGCTCGGCGTGTCGATGTAAATCTGAGAATAACTGATTGTAACTCAACTTCTTCATGTGCTTTTTATGCTGACTTAGAGGTGCATTATTCTCCAGCATATATCTCGAAATATATGCCTGCGTTCCGCTAGAAACCGCCATTTTGAAATATTTTCTTGTGTTTGAAGTCATATCTCAAGTTTGGCACATAGAAACTCGCCCAAAATCGCACAGATTATTCGTCTGATAGCCATACAACTGTCTGGAAAGTTTAGAGAAAATCTATCATTCAGATCTCTAAATATATACCTGTGTTCCGCTAGAAACCGCCAATTTGGAGATATTTTCTTGTGTTTGAAGTCATATCTCCATTTTGGCACATAGAAATTCTCCCAAACTCTCACACATTATCTGTCATATAGCCATCTAACTATCTGGAAAGTTTGAAGAAAATCTGTCATTCAGATCTTGTGAAAATCAAAAATATATTCTAAGTTATTCACTAAAACACTCGATTTTCGAACTTTTTATTTGGAACAGATTTGTCGAAAGTCCTGATCTGTTCTGCAGACACTTTCGCGCTTGTGCAGTAGCGCGCGACAGCCATTTGGCGTAAACCCATTGTTAGATGGGCCAAAATTTGCAAATGTGCTTCAGAACTAGCATTGTCTGACCATAAAAGACCACTTAAATTGCACTTTTTGAATAAAAAGTATATCCTGTTAACATTTCTGAAACTCTATCTAATTTGCAACGTAAGTGTTGTGCGCAAAGATAATTTGAGCCGAATCCAGATAGCACGACGGACGACCCTGTTCACGAACAGGTGTTCGTGAAAAACTTATGATATGATGGTTACCAGATCATATGACTGCCTAATAACTTGCTTAGGATGATGTGAACCCCTCGACAGCTTGACACAGAATCAAGTAGGGTTCACATTATCGCAAGCACTGTACTCCTCCTGGACTGGACCATTCTCTTATCTCTAGGGGGGCCGTGGGTCCATTAATTTCGTCTAGACGGGAGAGTACCATGTCAGCAGTGGTCGACCGGGATCGAAATTCAGTCCCGGACGGGACCGGGCCGGGATGACGTTCATCCCGACCGGGACCGGGACCGGGATTTTTCCAATATTTCTCAATCTCAGTTTAAATGAAACAATGTTATATGTTAAATAAAATCTTCCAGAACAAACTGAGGTATGTCAAGTTAAAATTGACAGTAAGTAGTAGTAACTACTCTATCTCTCTCTAATCTCTATCTCTCTATCTTTCTCTATCTCTCTCTTTATCTCTGAGATAGAGAGCGCGAGCGCTCTCATTGGTGGATCGACCTAGCGTGTCACAAATTATTATTTGATATATTTCATCAGATGAAGAAGCTGATGAGGGCGAGGCCCCTGACTCTTGAGTATTTCTAAGTTTGTTCGGACTTCAGCTTTCTTCTAACATTTTGTAATTTGTTACTCATGAAGTGAACAGTTGAACATATAATTAATTTTGAACATTAGTAAATTTTGTTTGACTTGAAATTTGCCAACTACCATCGATCAAAATTCATAGAATTTTGATCATATCATGTAACATAAACATTTCACATAAGACTTGAAAGTTGAATTTTCAATAAACTTTTGGCGACGAGAAAGTGAAATGATCTAACTATTAAGAAGCACTGTAGAGCACTGTTGTAGTAAAACTTTTCGGAAAATGTTCACAGGTTCGTGAACTTTGGGCTCAAATATACGCTCTAAAACAGACTTTATTTTGGAAAAATCCCGTCTAAAATCCCGGCTAAAAACAAAATCCCGACCGGGACCGGGACAAAATCGCCAAATCCCGGCCGGGATCTGCATGTCAGTAATTGGAATAGTTGTTGTTGTTGTTGTTGATGGCAACTGATAATACTCCACCAAAAACGAACGACTTCTATACCATATTTAAATCTTAATTATTTATTTCATTGAGCAATATAATATGTAGAATACCCCCTCTTTTGCTATTGAATCAGATAATTTATTTATTAGAAGATTGGGGAGACCTAGAATGAACTTTTTATCTGTTTTAAGAAGTGATTTAAGTAGTAGAAATTAGCACATAGATAACTTGCATGAATTAAACGAAATCAAAGATATAGCTGCATGCAACAGATGTTGAGAAAATTTGTTTCAAGGGTACAGTTTACCGCATTAAAGTATTTTTATGAATCATTATTGACGGTAAGATCCTGTTTTATAATAATAATTATTATATGCTACGCTACAATCAGTGCTATTCGTAACTAATTATATCCGAGAGACCACATTTGAATCGTTATCAATAGTTTGATCCAGCAATTTACTATGCTACAATTAATGGCAAATTATTCTAGCAATAACTAATTGCAAGATACCATATAATACATATTACCATTGAATTTCATAACATTTCATGATTGATATGCTCCCATATGGGGAAAATGGGCGATTAGGTTTGGCCCCTATACTATGCGGCCACTATTAATACGGCCTCTAT